CATTTGACCAAGCAATTAACAAACCACTTGGGACATCCTAAACCTCTATCTGAGTTCTCCACTTCAGTCCCAGCTTTACTCCTAGCTCCAGCTTCCTGCCAGCACTCACTACATAATGGCTCAGGCTTGAGTCCCTGCCACCCGTGTGGGTAATCTGGATCGTGGTTCCTAGCTCCCATATTATGGCTGGCCCGCTCCCTGCTGCTGTGGGCATTTAGGGGAATGAAACAGCAGATGGAATATCTGTGAGGAGTGATTCGAACATCCCATCTAGGACCCGGCACCATTTTCTGCTTCCCCTTTTCCCCCAGCTCACGAAATTCGTGCCATTCTGGTTTCCCACCAATGAGATGAAACCCAGAGGCATCTTAGCTGAGAACCTCACCCACTGTTCTCTTACAACCCATCCCCAAAATCCCCGACTACCTACAAATCATCTGTGATAATCTAAGTCACCAGTCCCGGGGACCACCCACAGACCCTCCCAATCAATTCCCCACATCCCCTACACCTTCCAGGCACACCCGATTGTATAAAGTGAGCCTCCACATATGCCCCCTTTCCCTTTTTCCCAGTTCTCCACCAGGCACCCTGTCCCCTGCATCTTGCATCCTTGCCTCTGTCCTGGCAGTCCTCCATCCTTCCACTGTGGCAGGAGACAGTTCCTTGCCTGTGCTTCCCACCTCTGCTCCCCCTCCCATTCCTATCCCACTGGAATAAACAACCTCCTAAGTAACTTGCTATGTCTGGGACTTTAGATTGCAGTAAATTAATCATGAATAGATTAATTGTGGCTGCAGGAAATAGTTGCACATAAGAACTTTAATTGTGTTTAAAGCCTAACAGTATCTATCTGGCTGTTTACTTCTCAAGTAAAATAAAAAATTTTTAAATGCAAACAAAAAAGAAAATGAAAAAGGCATCAACTTCAAACACTGCATTTTTAAAAACAATGAAATAATAGGAATAAATTTATTTTAATACATTTTAATACGGAATAAATATCTTCAAAGACTCAAAGGATCAGATTTGAACACAGAAGAAACACATGATTTGAATGGCCCTTTATGATTAAAGAAACTTAAATTTGTCACCACTTGAGAAGCTAGGATCTCATAACAGAAAACCAATTTGAGCCCCATCTGCTCTACTTCTGACCCAGCTTCCTGCCTGTGGAAGATGGTCTTAGTACTTGGGCCCTTGCCACCCATGTGGGCGACCAGGATGGAGTTCATATACTCTGATTCTAGTTTTTCCCAGACTTGGAGAAAAGCTTGAACCATTTGGGGGAAAACTGAACATAAAAGTTACACCTATCTGTATCTAAAAATCAATATATTTATTATAAATATTCCTTAAAATAACTTCAAAACATTTATTCACCAAAATTAACCCAAATTGTATTATAGAACTAAAAAACAATACCTGAAAATATTAAACATAAGGAATACATTGTGGCTGCTATTGGTTATTCAGAGCATGTTACTTAACTTCATAATGTCACAAATTTTTGTATAATTCTCTCTGTTATTGATTTTGTTTTATGGCTTTCCATTTAAGGGGATATAGTAACTGTGTAGTAGAGACTCTCACATACAGATGTGAAGATACAATGCAGTGTGCATGTCTACTTCCAAGTCAAAGATGGAGTTCCAATGAAACTGTTGAATGTGTCTTGACAATCGGATGCTAGACTCTCTGCCATTGCCCATGCCTACAATGTCAGGATACACTTAAATAGCAGAATGATGGCTTATGATTGATTGTGAAGGACTCTACTATTGAAATGACATGGAAGAAATTAGTTGTGGGTGGAGATCTGGAGAAGGTGGGGAGGGAAATTCCAGAAGCTTTGGAACTGTACCACAAAATAATAAAATAAATTTAAAAAAATTTTTTAAATAGAAATCAATGTGAGGAAAAGGAGCAAACGAAAGGAAAAGTTCATATTCAAAAAAGTGGAAGAACAAGTTATTTTTAGGTAAATGTGAACAATGCTTAACCTCACTGATGTGAAAGATACAAAATGTCAGATTATAAAAAGAAACTACTATCAAACAACTGCTAATACTGTCCTTTGAAGGTTACATAGATAAATCTCATAAATTATTGCCGGACAATAAACTGACATGTTCCTTAAAGAAAACAAGTTGGCAATATTTATAAAACTGCAAATATGTTAACCCTTCTACCCAACAATTCTATTACTAAATATTGTTATTCTAAACTTTTGCATGCACATTAAATGACATATATACAATATTAACATGCATAACAAAACTTGTAATAGACGACTATAAACAACTCAGTGTCTATCAACAGAGAAAGAACTAGAGGAATAGACTGATACTACAAGGGTGTGATTATGGATGTCCTCTTGTACCCATGCAAAAATTTAATTCTCAAAGTCATATGTTAACAGGATTAAGAGGACAGAAACTTAATCTGACCATGGTGTTTACAAGTTGGCCTCTGGGAAGTGATTCAGATTAAATAAGGTTAATGAGATAAGACTCCGTGATGTGATCCTGGCAGCTTTATAAGAACAAGGAGAGACTACACAGACATACACAGTCCAGTTTCTCCTTGTGTGATGCCCTGCACTGTTAACAAGAAGACCATCACTGGATAATACACCTAAACAACTTTGCGCTTTTAGTACTATGAGCAAAAACAACCTGCTTTTCCTTACAAAGTAACCTGCCTCAGGTACTCTGTTATAGTGCCAAAAAGTTGACTAACACAGTCACATCCCAAAACTCAAATACTGTGCTTTTATAAGAAACAACAATTATCCACATACTGATTTGGAAAATGGCTACATTTTTAAGCTAAAAAAGAAAAATAAGAACAATGAACATGGGACTAGGGCCCGGCGCGGTGGCGCAAGTGGTTAGGGTCCTCGCCTTGCATGCCTGGGATCCCATATGGGCGCCGGTTCTAATCCCGGCAGCCCCGCTTCCCTTCCAGCTCCCTGCCTGTGGCCCGGGAAAGCAGCAGAGGACGGCCCAGGGCTTTGGGACCCTGCACCCGCGTGGGAGACCCGGAAGAGGCTCCTGGCTTTGGATCGGCATAGCATCGACCATTGCGCTCACTTGGGGAGTGAATCATCGGATGGAAGATCTTCCTCTCTGTCTCTCCTCTCTGTATATCCGCCTTTCCAATGAGAAAATAATAAAAATAAATCTTTAAAAAAAAAAAAAAGAACAATGAACGTGATATACCACATTCATGAAAACAAGGGGAAATAACAATCTATACATTTGTAATGTTTGCATATACAGACAGAGATAGAAAGATAAAACCAGTAAGAATCCAAGTGCTCTGTGGGCCACAGCCATGACTTTTGTGATCCTGGAAGCTCCCATGTGTCCTGTGTCCCCCAAAGCATGCCAGGCGGATGGGATAAGCCTCAGAAAGGAAGACCCTGGTTGTCAGCAGGATCCTGTGACCAGTTTGCTTTTTCTGCCAGGTGTTGTACATACATATGGGGACTTTTAATGTTGTGATGTATTGGAAACTTGTCCACTGTATTTGAGAAATCTGTTTCATGTGAAAAGCCTTGATAAAAGGACATTTTTATAAATCTACATCATTTTTATAAACCAAAAAGAAAATAAGAACAAACAAAAAAAAATGAATTAAAAGCTAAGTTTATTAGGTGGCTCAGTTAGCTAATTCTCCCCCTTACAAGTGCCAGAGTTTCATAGGGGTGCTGGTTCATGTCCCAGCTACTTCACTTCCCATCCAGCTCCCTGTGTACGGCTTGTGAAAGCAGTGGAAGATCGTTTGGAGCCTTGGAGTTCCACACCCATGTGGAAGGCCATGAGGCGGCTCCAGGCTTCTGGCTTCAGACTGGCTCAGCTCTAGCCACTGCAACCCTATGGGGAGTGAGTCAGAGGACTGAAGATCTTTCTGTCTTCCTTTCTCTCTCTAAATCTGCCTTTGCAATAAAAATAAATAAACCTCTAAAATTTTTTTTGAAATTGACAACTTTTTGTATAACATATACTTCCTTGAACTTTCTAGGAAGTGCATATTGTACAAACTTTCTGAAACACTCTCATATAAATATTCTTTTGTATATATTTAGTAACTTAAAAATATCAACGAAAGAAGAAATCAATAGAAGAAACTAGTACATAGAAGTTAGTTCTCCCCTAGTTCGCTTACAAATAATGAAATTTCAATGAAAGAAACAATATTAAATGCACAGAATGTTAACTACTGCTCCTGACTTAGCAGTATTATGCAATGAAAATAAGCGAAAAGTAATCTATGGAAACATACTGTAACAGTGAAGAGTAAATTTTTAAAACATTTTTAGAATGAAGATGGAAAATCACTGGAAATAACACAACAGAAAAGAAACAATTAGGAAAAAGTTTCTGAGAGTATAATTAGGCTGTCTTTGATATTAACAATTAAATTGAGCTCCAATCTCATAAAACATCTCATTTAAAATTTTAATATATATGCATACACATGAATACTTATTTATAAACTCTATGTCCTTAAAAAGATTTAAAGAGACTCACAGAAATATTTCCTCTTTCAACAGAGAATGAAAGAACATAATGAAGAAACTGATGAATGAAGAATTTACAAAATAAAGTCATAGTGAAAGCTGATTCATAAAAGCACATTCATTCTGAGACCTTATATATTTTAAATTGCTGAAATTTGGTTACCAGCCTATAAGCAGTTCAGCTGCTAGCAAAGCAGCAACTATGATTAGGTGAGGCATAGTTATGCTAGTCAGCCTTTCTTGATGGTGATTCTAGAAAGAAATGTTTTTCTATGAATCTTACAAAGAACAAAAAGTCGACTGTCGACTGTCAAGCTGCCAAATATCGAGAAATTTAATACAATTAATAGTTTATTAGAGGAGCAGCAATGGGCAGGAAAGAGACACAAAAATATGCAGTAAATATATTAAAGTGATTAATGATGCTACTTAATATTCAACATAATACATTCTAATCAGAAAATTGACTGACCTTCTTGAACTGCCATGTCTACAGTTAGCCCAGAAGCTGAATGTAGAAGTTTTTGGTAATTCTGTGCATTCTGGTCAAATAACTGTACTAGAAGAGCGCATGTCTTCTCATATTCACATCTGCTGACAGTGCACAGCTGCTCCAACTGCTGAAACACAGTAGCGCTATCATCCAGCGGGTCATCTAAATGATCTCTGCAAAAATGCAAGAGCAAGGACTGCAGACTACTTCAGAATGTAATCTATTTCTGTAATCATTACAAATAAACTTGGTGTTAAATTTAAGTCCTATAATGTTTAAAAGTTAAAAAGACAAATAGATTGAATTAAGAACTAAAACTATCTCCTCTGTCCAAAACTCAGCCACTGCTGAATTACATGTGGCCACAGGGGATCCAGTGCTGCCAGATAACACTCATTTTTCAAAAGAAGTCAAAATTTTGAACATTGTGGTTTTCCTCATTCTGAAACAATGGCAATTCATTTAGTTTAACTATAAAACTAAGGACTTGTTGTAAGATGGCTGAATGAGGAAAACACATGTTGATTTTAATCATAGGAAGGTACCAGAAGAACAGGGGAGGACAGAGGAGAGAGGTTTGCAGTGAAAATCCCACAGAGGAGGAACTGTGGAGCAGCAGGGACAGTGCAACCACACAGCAGCGAGCAAGCCACTCCCAGCGCCACCTGTAGCTGGTGCCAGTGGGATGCCATCTCCGCAGAGATGGAACCTGTATCAAGTACTGCCACTGGTGATATTGCCTGAGGGAGAACTTCTTGGTCCCTGCTGACTTTGAACCAAGCCTGAATTGCTCGCAGGGACCGGGGTGCTCAGCTAACATCATAAAAAGAGGATACACTGCTTTCCTCCAACTCTTCACCAAGTTGCCCAGCAACAGCAGGAAGGAAGCGAACATCATCTTGTTAAGGGACAGAAGTTTATGTTCACATAGAAATCTCTACAGGAATGGTTTTAATATTCTTATTAAATGCCAAAAATGGAAAAGCAAATATCCATCAGTAGATACGTGGATAAACAGAGCGTGACATATCCATAAAATGAAGTACTACTTAGCAATAAAGAGGAATGGCAGAGCATGGAGTATCCCAAGTAAATTTGAGCAGCAAAAGAAGCCAGACTATAAGGATAAATATTTAGCAATTTCATTTAGACTACATTCTAGAAAAAGTAAACACTAAAAGGAAACAAAATACATCAATCATTTCCAGAGCTGAGATTGGTGAGAGGGCTGCTTAAAAGAGATCTAACAGAATTCTTGAAGATGAAAAAATAAGTGTAAATCTCAACTGAAGTGGTAATTGTTTTGTATGCACTTGTCAAAACACATAAATATAGGCTACACTGTAACGGTTAAATTTTAAAATTATATATATTATCAATCCTTAAAGAGTCGATGATGTCAAAGATGAGAATACCATGGAAACATTTAATTTCTTAATACCTCACAACTATGGCCACGGATTCCAAGCGAGATGTAATAAAGGCCTTGGTGATCTCTGGTGCATAGGTGTCTAGCAAGTGAGGTTCAGTTGATTTCACAAAAGGAACTGAAGCCACCATTCGCTGCCACAGTGTTAATAAATAATAAACACTGTTCGGAGCAAATTCCCAGTGCTGCAAAGAAATAAAGAAAACTTTATTTTAAATGTCATTATAACTTCCTAGAGTAAGAATTATGAAACAAAATTACTAACATATTTTTAAATTACTTTAACATTATTCTGATTATGTAACTAATAAACATTTAATATAGGAAATTTCATAAATGCAAAAACTAAAAATATCTCCCCTTCTTCCACCAGTGATGATAATGACTAAAATGTTACATTTCCTTTTATCCACTCAATGAGTTCTTTCCAAAGTTGACATTATGTGGAAAACGGTTTTATAACTTCATTCCCTAATTTACAAAAGAATTTGCCAGAATCCAATCTGTAAAAATACTCTCTCATTCCTTCACATAGATTTTACTACAGTTTCTCAAGCCACTCTTCAGCTATTAAATACTAAAGTAGCTTTTCAACTTTCATCATTATGAATGCTGTAATGAACACTGCTAGCACTCAAATTAACAGATGTTAAAAACACACTCTCACCAACTCTAACCAAGGAAGTGTTTTAAAACTGCTTATGTTTAACATTAATTATATATTTTTACTTACCTGCAAGCTAGTAATGGTAAAATTAGCAATCAATCTGATAACTTCAGGATAGTCTTTCACCATGACTAATTCTCCCAGCTGATAATTTGTCTTTAACCGAGCCAAAAATCGACAAAATTCATGATAATTACCAGGATCAGACAAACCCTAAGTGATTGGATAAAATGAAAAGCTTTTACAAGCATTTTAAGACAAACCAATCTATTGATTATTAAGTCTATAAAATCCCAAAGTATTTCATTAAGTCTCCCAGTTTTCATGTGTGCTTGTGATTCTTTATGACAACTAGATAAATCACAATGTACAAAAACAAAAACAAAAAACCCTCCACCATCCGTGCATATATGTGGCATGCATACATGTGCACATCATGGCTTAAAGAGAAGTCAGCAAAGAACTTAAAAACATTTAATATAAAACCATGAATAAACACTACTCTGGAAATCCTGGGCAAGAGCAGCACTAACTAGACATAAGATAATAAACGGTGTGGACATGCACACTAATTACAAACTCCTTCCACTTCAACACACAGTTACGGACTACTCACATACACTGTGCCTGCAAGTAGTCCCTGGCCCTAGGTGGACAGTCTTTCAAACTAATTTCCTCAACATAAGGAACAAAAATCGACAAAAAAATATTGGCAAAAGCTACAAGATATATAAGCAACTTTTGGAGGAAGACTAAACAGAAAGACCAAGAAAAGTCTTCTGTCAACTACTTGAAAACAGGACACATACGCTACCCTCTCCACAGTTTGAGATCTTTGCAATATGTATTGGCAGCTGCCATGAAACACGATTCAAAAACTGTTAAGTCCCTAGCAGATTCACTTTTAGGAACTCCATGAACTATCACAAAATAGTGTCTAATTATCAAGGATAAATTATAAAAACACATTTTATAATTACCATTTTTAACACATGCTTGTGATTCTATTTTAACTTTCAGGGCCATGTATATGTTGAAATCCATAAATGTTATAAACCATATCCAAAAACAGCAAAACAAGAACCACATAATAGTTTCAATAGATGCAGAAAAAGCTTTCGACAAAATCCAACACCTCTTCATGCTAAAAACTCTAGCCAAAGTAGGCATAGATGGGAAAATCCACAACATAATCAAAGCAATTTATGAAAAACCCAACGCCAGTATCATACTGAATGGAGAAAAGCTAGAACCCTTCCCACTGAGATCTGGAACAAGACAAGGGTGCCCGCTATCACCACTGCTATTCAACATAGTCCTAGAGGTACTTGCAGAGGCCATAAGACAAGAAAAAGAAATCAAAGGCATACGTATAGGAAACGAAGAAGTCAAGCTTTCACTATATGCAGATGACATAATCCTATACATAGAAAAACCAGGAGACTCAATACAGAAACTGCTAGAACTTATACGAGAGTTTGGCAGAGTGGCGGGGTACAAAATTAACGAACGAAAATCAACAGCCATAGTGTACGCAAATAACACCAAGATGGAAGAAGATCTAACCAACAGGATACCATTCAAAATAGCAGAGAGAAGTATGAAGTATTTGGGAATAAATCTAACCAAAAGCGTAGGAGACCTATTCGAAGAAAACTACAAACTATTTAAAAAGGAAATTGAACAAAACCTCAAAAGATGGAATAACATCCCGTGCTCCTGGATAGGCAAAATCAATATCATTAAAATGTCTATACTACCACAAGCAATATACATTTTCAATGCAATTCCAATCAAATTGCCCAAAACATTCTTCACGGAACTGGATACAATGATTCAAAAGTTCATCTGGAAGCACAAAAAACCACGAATAGCTAGAACCATCCTGAAAAATAAGAAGTCAGCAGGGGGAATCACAATCCCGGACCTCTGGACATACTATAGAGCAGTGGTTATCAAAACAGCCTGGTACTGGCACAAAGACAGAAAGGAAGATCAATGGAATAGAATAGAAGCACCAAAAGGGAACCCACACAAATACAGCCAATTAATCTTTGACAAAAAGACCAATGACAGCTCAAGCAAGTGGGAAGGCCTCTTTGGTAAATGTTGTTGGGACAACTGGCTGATAGCCTGTAGAAACAAAAAAATAGACCCACATCTATCACCATACACTAAGATCCAATCTACATGGATAAAAGACCTAAACCTACATCCAGAAACCTTCAAACTCTTGCAAGAAAATGTAGGAAATACCCTGCAAGACCTAGGAGTAGGTCCCGACTTTCTAAGAAGGACACCAAAAGCAATAGCAGTTGAGAACAGAATAAACAAATGGGACCTCATCAAACTAAGAAGCTTCTGTACAGCAAGGGAAACAATCAACAAAGTAAAAAAGCAACCCACAGAGTGGGAGAAGATCTTTGCACACGATATAGGCGATAGGGGGCTAATTTCCAGGATATATAAAGAACTTCAAAACAACCAAAAAACCAAAACAAACAAGCCACTCAAGAAATGGGCACGGGAAATGGGCAAACATTTCACAAAGGAACAAGTCCAAATGGCAAACAAACATATGAAAAAATGTTCCAGCTCCCTAGCAATAAGGGAAATCCAAATTAAAACATCGATGAGGTACCACCTAACACCAGTAAGATTGGCCCACATAAACAAGAACACCAACGACGCTTGCTGGCGAGGATGCGGGGAAAAGGGAACCCTACTCCACTGCTGGTGGAGCTGCAAATTGGTACAGCCTTTATGGAAATCAGTCTGGAGAACACTCAAACAACTCAAAATCTGCATACCATATGACCCAGCAATAGCACTCCTAGGAATATATCCAAAACACCTGTTTTACGACAAACCAACATGCATCCCTATGTTCATTGCAGCACAATCAGTAATTGCAAAAACATGGAAGCAACCGAAATGCCCATCAGCAGAAGATTGGATAAGAAAGCTTTGGTTCATCTACTCCATGGAATACTACTCAGCTATTAAAAAAAACAAAATGCAGTTCTTTGTGGCTAAATGGGTACAACTGGAAACTATAATGCTAAGGGAAATGAGCGAATCCCAAAAGATTAGATACCACATGTTTGCCTTGATTTAACCTGTAATTTTTTGTTTGGTTGTTTGTTATTTTTTTTTTTTTTTTGAACCTGTCATTGATACTGTCTCAACCCAGATGTTTCGAAGAAGGGAACTTGCATTATTTTTAACATATTGTTTACCCAATACTATGTCAATTAATTCCATAATGTTGTATATTGATACTGTGGCCTCGTTGGGGCTTTTAACTGACTGGATCTTTACTCTGTTAGACCTATTTTCAGACCATAGAAGGTCTCCCCAAGAGGCCACTGAACTTATCTGGACAATAAGATGCTGAACTTTATGCTAGGCATGTGTCTGCAAGCAATGAATCTCAACCGAACTTGAACTATGGTTATGCAACAAGGTGGAGGAATCCACCATGGGGGGAGGGGTATGGGAGGGGTGGGGGGAATCCCCAGCGCCTATGAAACTGTACTACACAATACAATGTAAGCAACAATAATAAAAAAAAAAAAAAAAAAAAAAAAAAAAAAAAAAAGAAAACTCATGTCAAAGATTATCTAAAATGCAGCATATTATACTCCACACATATATACATACACTGATAGTAAATAAAGCAAACAAAAAATTTTAATTATTGGTAAAATACTGTTTATCAGCATAAGTAAATATCATAGCCATACTGACATTGAAAAAATAAAACACAAAACCCATAAAATACACCTGAAAATAACCTGCAAAGCAATTGCCTCAGAATAAACAAATTTTATTTATATATAAGGATATTATATGTCTTCCTAAAAACTATCAATCACCCAAGACTTAGATAAATCTCCTAAAACCAGTATTTAACTTCTTTAAAACAGCATGGTAATTTTAAAACAAAACCAAATTTAAGATATTTTATCTACCCAAAAATCAATTACTAATAATGACTTGGCAAGTTCTCTGTCGTGAATATTGCCACTGAAGCACTTTAGTTAATGCAGAGAGAAGATTTTCAAAGTCAACAAACTCTCATTTGTCCACAAGAGGGCAAAGAAGTTATTTTGAAATCTACAGGTACGTATTCCAATTTTAACATTCAGATTCATACTATGCCTTCTAGTTTAGAAGGTGTAATAGCCCTGAAAAAAATCACTTCAGTAGTTTAAGAGGTTCAGGCAAAGAAAAACAGTGCAACAATAAAAGAGAGAAGCATAATAAGATATATAACATCTGAAAGAAAAATAAAGGAAGAACATGAAGTCTTCTGTGGAAATATCCATTTTTTTTTAAAATTGCCTATTTCTAGAACAAATCAGACCTACAGAAGATGAATAGTGAACTTTTTCTTCCAGAATCATAATAAATTCATGATGAGTTTATTACATTCCTGTGAGCAGAAAAAAACTATTTCTACATGCTAAATATTAATTAAATACTTCATAAATACCTGGGGGTTTTCAAGTATCCTTTTTACTCCCTTAATTAAATTGCCAAGGTACTTGGCACGTTCAGGACTGCTAAATAAGGACCTTCTTGTAGAAGCAAACTGAACCAAACATGAAAGTGCCTAAAAACAATAAAAAAATAATTTTAATTTTAAAAGTAACTATGGCCACATATAAGGATACCAGTCTTTACATTTAAAACACCTTTAATGTTAACGATAAGCATTACAGAACACAAAAATGAAGAAGCTAACACCATCAAGTACCACCATCACTCACATTCTATTCCACCACTAAAATTCCTCTTTGTGTATGTTTCTCGCTAATGTTTTTTCATACATTAAATCGGCCAGTGTAGGACTGGACACATGTATGTTTGAAGCACTCCCATCCGCTTGTGATAACCACTTCTATACATGAACCAATGAACCAGGTATTCCATGAGCTATCACACAAAATGTCAGTCTTAGCAAAGGTGAGAATAAGAACGAGATGTCCTCTTTAGGTGTGCTCCAGGTTTGTTGCAGCCCATTGTTTAAAACCAAAACACAAACAGAAAAACCTTCTTGAGTATATAGGTTTTTGAGTCAAAAATTCTGGGTGTGAATCACACTGTCAACATTTACTTTGTCCTCTGGGCTATTACTCAGCTAGTTTGGAAGCATTTTCTACTTTTCTGGGTCTATATAGTGAGGGTAACATTATTCAGTATTCACCCTGCATGGTCAGTTAAATGAGTGAGATAACCACCATGTTATAGCATTTCCCAATGAATGTGAGTTGACCATTTCTCAAAGGAGCTGCGTTTGTACTTCATTTTAAAGCACATGTACCAGTGTTGTTTTATCCCAACAAATAGAAGAAACCATAGTTTTCAAACACATAAGACTGTTTGGTTAGAAAGCAAGCTGAGACATCACTTCAAAATATTATGCACTCTGGAAAACCCATTTAAAAACCACCACCTTAAACCCTATATTCAAGAGCAGAGATTTTTTTTTGTGTGCTTTCATTTTTCATAGATTTATATAAGAGGCAGAGTACAAGAAAAGGAAGGACGGAAGGACGGGAGGACGGAAGGAAGGAAGGATGGAAGGAAGGAAGGAGGAAGGGAAAGGAGGGAGGGAGAGAGGGAAGAGAGAAGGAAACAAAGGGAGAGGAAGCATAACTGCTGCTCCCCTCCTCAAAGGGCTTGCAATGACTAGGAGCTAAAGCTAGAAGCTAGAATGTAATCCGTGTCCTTCACTTGGAAAGCGGAAAGAACCCAGCTACTCATTATCACTGTTGCATCTCAGGTCTGCATTAGCAGGAAGCTGGACTCAAGCACCAGAGCCAGGAATCTAGTTATATCAGCCCACTAAGCCAAAAACCCATCCCAGAAACATTTTGTGCAAAACGGTACTTCTATGATAGTCTGAATTCTATGAATTCTAGGAAATAGTGTACCTAAACAACTATAGCACTTAGATGTAATTCTAAAATTTAAACATCTTTTTTTTGGAAAATGACAGTATCAGGATCTCCCAATTTTATAAGCTTAGATATCAAACTTTACAAACAATTTAGCCTTGCCAAATCTGTTTCTGACTCTATAAAGATGGAAACCACAGTCTCAAATTCTACATAACCATACAAACTCAAGAATTCTTTTCTACATGGAAATATTAAAAAGGCATCTGGAGTGATGGGTATAAAATAAAGCGAGTAGATGTCCTTTGTTTCTTCTTCAGAGGTTTCTGATGGGGAGTGTTCATCAAGCTTAAGACAATGAAGCCAAGCAAGGCTAAGAGAAAGCTTACAGGGGAAAAGAGAAGGGAAGGACAGGTGGAGTGAATCTGGACCCTGTGTGTGTAGAAACATATGAGGGTATTTCAAAAAGTTTGTGGAAAATGGAGTTAAGAATTATGCTTATTTTAATGCTGAGAAACTTTGAAATCCATGGATACACACACTCCAAAAAGAATTTCTTATGAGAGGTAAACCCAATCAAACTCACAAATAAATTTTTTGAAATTACAAATTTTTTTGAAATAAATATAATTATCCCTTAATTAAAAAATCACAGGTATTTTTTAATAAAGTAATGAATGACTTTTACTTACTAACTGAGACAGTAGTGGAGGAAGTGAATGATACAGATTGAAGAAAAGATCCAATGTTTCTGGTTCCAGGAAAACTAGGGAAAAAAGTATTTTCTAACATTATCATTTTCAATTCAACAACCTTAACAAAATAATAGGTACCATATAAACCAGGAACTAAACTTCTGTACACTTGTCAAGTTCTGACCACCTAAATTCTTTCTTTTAAACTCTATTTTCTATTTCTATTTTAAATTCTATTGTCCTTTGAAAAATGAAATACAAAGACAGATTTGTAATGTTAGGAAATATACCTTTTGTGTTGTTTTTTATTCATGATTCTGGCTGAGATCTCCTTTCCCAAGAAGTCACAGAAACTAATGTTTCCCATATTTCTCCCATCTTGGAACTGACCATAAGGAAAGTCATATGATCTATATCATAAGAACCCCATTTGATAAAGGATCCTGTCTCAGAACCAGGAGGAACATAAATAATCTGAAAACAGAGCTCTTGCTGGATTTACCCGCACATTTTAAATCAATATTAGATCATATCCTTTTTGTCCAATCACATCAACATAGCTGTCCATGCTTCAGTCATGCATGTCCCTACAATTAAGTTTCCATAATAACCCAAAAGAACAGAGTTTCTGAGAGTTGAACACGTGGAGATTTCTAAAAGGTTGAGTGACCAGAGGACAAAGTCCCTTCCCTATGAATCACCCTACATATCTCATCTGATCCTCTGTCATGTCCTTTGTAATGAATCAGTAATGTGTTTTCCTGAGTTCTATGGATGCTTAAGCAGATTACTCAAACTTGAGAGGGAACTTCAGTTTATAGAGGGCAGGTCAGAAGCACAGGCAAAACCATCTGGGCACACATGGGGAGTGAGGCAGGGAGGTCAGTCTCAAGGATGCAGATCTCCATGTGTGGGATCTAATGGTGTCTTGAGGTAGACAATGTCAGCTAGTAGCTCGATAAGAGGAGACCCAGCCGGCATCTGCTGCAGAACGGATTGAGTGTGGTGCGGGGAAGCGCTCAGACATCTAGTGTCAGAAGTACCTGCACTGTGACAGTTTAGTAGGAGCAACTGAGTCCGCTTCCTCAACAGAAAAATTAATTAGCTAAAAAGGTTCTTATTTCTGTGGAGCATTTCCTAATTAGGAAAAGCTTCTATTTTTTATTTATGTTAAAGTAACAGCATTTGATATAGGATCCAAAAATAATACTAAAAAGCGTGTAATAAAAAAGCTATAGGCTATCCCATTCCATCTACTTTTCAGTATACTCTTACAGCTATAGAATCACCTATGGTTTCAAATAATATGCTATACCACTATTTTCTTCATTTGATTGCTTTAGTATAGATATCAACTGAATTCAATAATACAGTGGATGAGATTTTACTTGTGAAGCATTCATCCTGTATTCAAATCATTTCTACCACTCTCCACAATCCGTCCCTTCTTAAAGCGTATCTACTTTCACCACAATTTGTGACTAAACCAATTCTAAGTGTTCATATTTGTGACACCCATGTAACAAATTTTAATAACTGGGTAAAGAAACAAAAAATGATTACATCACATTCTATTGTTTCCTAGACTTAATCACAGCATCTCTTCTGTGCTTAATTATACAAAAATATTTCTTTGGATATTTATTTTCAATGATATGAATGGAAGATGTGTATCATGGAAAAGCTATATGTAAGCTCAAAAATTTTTTACACCAAAATAAACATATTTTAATTCCATTTATCCAAAAACTACTTGAGGCATCCTCATACACCTGTCTCTCTTTCCAGCTGCCCTCACAGTATTTGAAAAATGTTCACAACACTTCCCACACAATCAACAGCATCAAATAGCCTAGCATTGCTGCTCCCCACACCTATCTCTAGTGTTCAACTTGAATGGCTGTTCCAGAATTTTGTTCTACAACTGTTTTCTTTCTTTCTTTCTTTCTTTTTGGTCTGTTTACCATTAGCTTGAATAAAGGTTTTTTCAAATATCCTAACTTCTACTTTTTTTGACTGGTACATCAAGTAACTTCTTGACAGCAAGAACGTAACATAAATTTGGGAAGGACTAGTATTCTAAAAATGTCTCTATTTTGCCATATTTGATCATTTCCTCTTAATTCTTCAAAAATTTTCCCACAGTGAGGCTATTTAATTGTATTCTTCTCTGGCTTCCAGCACGCTGTTGAGAAATCTAATGCCACTCTTGATTCCAACCTTTTCTAAGTGACTTCCAGGCACACTTCAGGGTTTTTTTTTTTTTTCTTCACTATTCTGAAGTGATTAAAGTTAATTTTAACTTTTTACAGTCATTTTGTTACATATGATTGTACCATTCAATTCAAGAATTCATGTGTTTCAAGGATAAACATTTCAGGGGCGTGATGTGGTCACAAATCTCCTTCTGTATTTTTCTGTTTTGTTTCCAGAATTACAGTCAAAACACCAGACTTGCAATCTTTCAATTCTCTTTTTATCTTTCAATTCTCTTGTATTCTTTTTCTCCTATCAACCATTTCCTTGGTCTCCTTGTTCTACCTTCTGGGAGATCTCACTAACTTTATCTTCCCCTTCTTCTACTGAATAATTTGTCAACTATATTTTAAATGCAGATTTTATTTATTTTTAATTGGAAAATCAGATATACAAAGAAAAGGAGAGACAGAGAGATCTTCCGTCCATTGGTTATCTGCCCAAGTAGCTGCCAAGAGTTGCTGCTGAACCAATCCAAATCCAGGACCCAGGAGCCTCCTCTGGGTCTCCCAAACAGGTGCAGGGTCCCAAGGATTTGGGCCATCCTCGACTGCTTTCCAAGGCCACAAGCATGGAGCTGGATAGGAAGCAGGGCCACTGGGATTAGAACCAGCGCCCATATGGGATCCTAGCGCATGCAAGACAAGGACTTTAGTTGCTAGGCTACCACACCAGGGCCCCAAATTTTCCTTTTAAAAACAATATCCTGGGCCCGGCGCGGTGGCGCAAGTGGTTAAAGGTCCTCGCCTTGCACGCCCGGGATCCCATATGGGCGCCGGTTCTAATCCCGGCAGCCCCGCTTCCCTTCCAGCTCCCTGCCTGTGGCCTGGGAAAGCAGTCGAGGACGGCCCAAAGCTTTGGGAACCTGCACCCACGTGGGAGACCCGGAAGAGGCTCCTGGCTTCGGATCGGCATAGTATCGGCCCGTTGCGCTCACTTGGGGAGTGAATCATCGGACGGAAGATCTTCCTCTCTGTCTCTCCTCTCTGTATATCCGCCTTTCCAATGAAAAAATAATAAAAATAAATCTTTAAAAAAAAAAAAACAATATCCTTTTCCTATCTCATTGCCTTTGTTCTTCATGAAATGAATTACATTTTCAAGTTTACTTCTACTCTTCATTTGTCTCTAATAACTATCCATCTTTTAAACTAAATTTTTTTGAGATTTTAGATTTATATGTGGTTGCAAGCAATAATATAGTGACCCCTGTTTGATCTAGTTCCCTACAATGGTAAATTCTTGTAAAATCAGAGTATAATAGAACAACCAGGAAACTCATATTGATATAATCCTCCAGTCTTATTTGTACCCCGCTTTTACATAAATACATGCTTTTTTTTATTTCATGTTCTAGCTTATGAGTCCATCAACACAATCAAAAATCTTACACTCTGCTGTTTTAGTCTCCAATTTCCATATTAGAAGTTTTCATAAGATCTAGAGTGTTTATCTATGGTATCTGGTATTTGTGAATCTGAAGTTTCTCCTGTTTCGTTTCTCAAGCTCTAGTCAGGGGAAGCAAGAGGGCAGCACAAGTAGAGCGGGGGGAAGGTAATCACCTAATTGCTCACGTGGTAGAGAAGATCCCAAGGCGGCTGCAGAATGATTGCTTTCAACCAAGTCTTTTCAGACCTATTCCCCCTACGTGACTTCAGCGATAATCTGGGTGCCAACTCCTTGGCAGAAAAAATCAGCAGGCTTTTTTTTTATTATTATCCTTGAGAGAACTAAGTTACACTAAGCCATTTACTCTAATTCATTCAAAAAATATATTGACATTTCCTGCCAACCACTGGATCCTCTTCAACTGTGTATCTGTACGTCTCAATACACAGCTCTTCATTTTTTCAGTTTTCCATCTAGTTCTAAAATTGTCTTAACTTCTTATCCAAAATCAATGACAATTAATATGATATGAATTCTATATCAGCAGTTATTGTGAATTATAAATCCTCTTGAGCTCTTTTGATTTCCTAGCAAAAAGCAGAGATAACTACACACAGGGCAACTGCACTACTTAATTACATACTTTTTATATTGACCATCTCTCCTACCAAACTTTTTTCTTACTTGTTCTCCAAGTTGTGGGAATTTGCACTGTGCAAAGATCATCTGCAGATTCGTCGGCAGAACTGCCAATGAAGTCAAAGCTAAGGCAATTGAGGACCAGTTTCAAAACTTGCATGACAAGATTTTGTTGACATTGATCTTGAAGGTTTAAAGGTTTGGCTAACACCTGAAAAAAGTTCAAAATCAAAACATTATGAAATACATCAGTTATTTTATTTACTTATATATCTATTTCTTCATTTGAGAGACAGGAAGTGAGAGAGAGAAAGAGGGAAGGAGGAAGTTTCCAACTATTGGTTCACTCTCTAAATGTCTGCAAGGGCCACGGCAGTGCTTGGACCAAAGCTAGGGACTTAGTCCATCTCCAACTGAGTGACAACTGAGTTGCTTCAGCCATCCCCACTGCCTCTCAGGGTTCGCATCAGCAGTTAAGCTGCAATCAGGAGCCACAGATAGGAATCAAAACCAAGTCCTCCCATTAGAACATGGGCATCCTAATCACTAGACTAAAAGTCTACTCCCATATTCACAATTTTCAACGTCACAAATTTTAAAAGATCTTAAATACCAAAAAAATAAACAAATAAATAATTTAAACATATTATTCCATGTATTAAGAGAAAAAGGTAAAATCACTACCCATAAATTTCTACAACAGACATTTTCAAAGCTCATTTTATAAAATCAGAATAAAAGCTTTTATTCTTAACCGTCTGTCTACTGCAGATTACCTTCTAAGGCTATAAGAGGTAGTACTACGATTATATCTAACACAACTATATAAATGTACAGGATTTGTTAATTCAAAGGTGGTAGGGAGCAAACTCAATATGTAACATACTTCAAGAAAAATTGGATTAGTTTGATGCATAAAAATCTCATATTAATCTATAAAGGCTTCCAGAATTATTGGAATGTGGAAGGACACTCACAAGCTTCTGGAAAACAAGCCTGACCACCAAATCAACATTTTAACATAACCAGAAGAAATTACATATTTAAATTCACACTATGAATATCTACAGAGGAAACAGAAAGCTTGGGATTCTAAGCTAGAAATGATTTTTAAAAAAACATAAAAGTCAGCTGAGAGGAATGGAGGTGAAGTAAGATTGGTTGTGAGTTGTTTTTAAGTGGTTGATGACTTCCTTGCTACTCTAAGTAATTCTATGCATGTTAAAATTTCCCTTGCTAGGAAGAAATTTTAAAGGTAACAGAGGGCCTTTGGTTTGACATATTCCAGACCTTCGATTTTTGGATCAGAGATGCTCAGCTGGTAAAGTCTATGTAAATATCCCAAAATCCAAAATCTAAACAATTCTGGTCCCGAGTCTTTCATATAAGGGATACTCAACCTGCCCCACAGAATAAAAAGAAGTGGAAACTAATACTAGTGGAACATAGGAATGCTATCCTCTGCTAACTGACAAGCTTCAGAATTATGATAAAAATCCTATATTCTACCAAGGAACAGAACAAGATTATGAACACCATTAATAGTCAAAAGGTGAGAAGTGTAAATGGGAAATATCAGTTCTCAAAGAAATTATTAAACTATCTTGACCACACTACCAATAAATTTTGATAGCTGATAAATTAGAAAAGCTTACAGTTCATTTTCTATCTTCACTCTACTAAAATATGGGCAATTAAATAAAGATTTAATTGGCTCTTGCAATTAAAAAGACAGTAGGATGACAATTAAATGATTTCCTAAAAACAAATTACTGCATTACTTGGGAATTTTACCTCATATACTGCGTAAGGAAAATTGACACTGGTCATAACTTTTCTAAAGGTAAAATTGGGGAGAAAATCCATTTGAAATCCTTTCAAAACTTAAATAAATTTCTATATACTTTAAATGAAAACTGCATTATCAAATAACTTACCTCTTTCAAAAGAGAGCATGCTAAAATGAAAATGTCTTTGAGAGAAGTGTCACGAAATGATGTCGCTATTTTTCTATGTTTTGCTGAAGGTCTAGAATAATCAACCTAAAAACAGATGAGTTAATCTAATCAGATCCAACAAAAGCATAGTAAAACTGTACCAACTAAGAGTGAAAATAATGATTAAAGAATTTTAAAGCATGAGGTAAGAGGTAAGGTAAAAAACTGTCAGAATAAATGACTTGAGACTAGATGCAGAGACAGATTAAGATGTTTCCAGAGTGACTGAATTTAGTATTCTTCATACACACCATGCTGACTCCAAAATTAAAAGGTGGAGTTGATCACACTTTCACAGGCCATATAAACAATAAAGTTTACAAAATATCAAAAAGAAAGCTTACAAAACAATAGATGCTATCAAAATAAGATACTATCAACTCCTGAATCAAGTGTATCAATTAAAAAAGTGAATTCAAAATTTGATATTTTCTAAGTTCCAACATACAATTTATACTCCTCTTAAATGTTACATCTACTCATAACACATGAACACAACATAAGTCAAAAGTGATCACTGCAAGTTATTAGAAACTGTATCTAGGGTGTAAGACCTGAATCAGCATTTCCAGGGTTCCGCCTTTAGTTTAAATCAAACATTAATATCTCTCTTGACAATATTTCCCTCAGTATATAAAAGAATGCTTTCCTGACTGCAAAAGAACACACAGTATTACAATGGCAATTTATAAAGTCTTCTTTATTTATTATTTTATTTACTATCCTTTTCTAAAACAAGAGAAAATCTGCATTTAGAGGCATGTTATCTTAAGTCATAATCTCACTGTCATACCCCTGCCCTGGAGAGAAGGCACTTGGCTTTTTAGCCATATTCTGTGTCTCAGCTACTGTACTAGTAGTTTATCTAATCAAGATTCCTGCAAACAGGTATTACTATCACTTCACAGGCAAAGTTCCACCAGTTTAAGGAGCTAAAAAGTTTGTAGAAAGTAGTGAATTAAAATATAAATCCATGTCTTAATCCAGAAGTATCGTCAAGGCTTCCATGCTCTTTTTGCTTGGGTTCACTAAATACCAAGGTTAGAAGAAATGGATTGCATATCTGTTTCCTACTGCATCTATAGGTCACACAGAGGCCATATGCCTTTTGATGATTATGTATTAAATATACCCCAGGAAAAGTACATTGGCTTCTAAAGCAGCAGGATACCTTAAAAATCCTTTTAATTTCTAGGAAAATCACATATAGATTTGTTCTCTTTAAAGTTAGATTCTATTACTGATATCATATGCATTTAGCTGGCTCACCTCAGACTAAAATATATGTATTTTTTCCTCATGTAATACAGATCTCACTGCCTGGTTCAGAAATGTTTAGTAAATATTAATTCAAACTGAAAATGTTATTAAATTAAACTGAGTAAAATGCCTTCACAGAAATATTTGTTACCATAACATCAAAATTACAGTTCAGACACTGGAGCTATGTAAGATAAACCTGGGATACTTTGTGCCAACAAGAAACAAAGTATTTCAAGGTGGTGAAGAAATGTTAAATAAATACAAAAACCAGCTTGAAAGGGTGAAGAACTTTACTGGCCAAATCTTGGAAAACTGGATTACCAAAACAAATAATGAATTATAGTCAATTATATAAAACAGGAAACCAGGGACTAATTGTGATATGCATAAATAAATAAATTTAAGGTCTGAGGAAGACGGCATTTTCAGGATCTTAAAATACCTCCCTACAACATGTTTATTAATTAAAAAGATAAAAACAATGTTTGGAAACTGGTAGAAACCATCTTATTTAAGCAATCAAAGTAAACACTATCAATAATGCCACATGTCAAATCATGTGCTCCTGAAAGGAGGCAGTGAAAAAGCCAGTTTCATTTCTGGAACATTCCTGATAAAAACACAGAAATCTAAATCGAATACTGAGGAAACATCAGACAATCCCTGAATGAGGGGCATTCTATGAAACAACTGGCCTTCAATCCTCAGAAGAGTCAAGATCACAAAAGTGGAAGAAAGATGGAAGAATTTATCCAGATTGAAAAGATTAGTAGAACTTGAGCAAAATTTTAAACTGATTCCTTTCACTTGAAAGGATATTTTGGGAACAACTAACGCAGCTTGAAAAGGCATAAGATTGTTATATGACAGCGTAGTTATATGACAGCGTTAACTTTTTAAATTCTAATAGTAGCAGTATTGGCTTATGTAGAAGAATGTCTTTATGTGAAGGAAATGCACTAAAGTATTGTCTAGTTTTATCTCACTTAGAATCTAACACAGCAAACTCATACTTCCAGGGCAGCACAGGTCTATGATGTTGTAAAGAATAAGAAATAAATAAAATTCCTAGCTTTAACATTAGCAATAAGTCAGAAACGTTAGAGGACAAACATATGGAGTTAATATGTTCTTTACTTTCACGAAGTAAAGCTTCATACTAAACTTGCTTTGCAATATGTACTTTTTTTAAAAGGCAAGCCACGGGTCTTTACACAGGTTTATGAAGCTTAGTAGTATTAATCAACATTCCAGTCAGAATATCTTTGACAGAGAGCATTGCTACAGGTCCTCATGGTAGAAAAATAATCACAGAAAATATACACACAAATATTCTTAGCCAAAAAATCATCATCTACACTGGGACACTAGCAGAGGCAAGTGATGGCCTTGATAAATTCAAGGATCACTTTAAATCTTACAATATTTTCCTATAAATCTAGAATTATTTTCTACTTTCTAATTGAAAACAAGTAGAAATCATTATTTTGGATTTTCTTTAATGCCAATGGCTATACAATTATTTCAAAGGTAGCTGGCAAGTGGCACTGGGTATGCAAGCTTTCCTTTTATGTGTGTCCCACATACACACATACACATATCATTCAAGAAGATGGCAGTTTTAAAATTTATTGTAAAATTACTTCAGGACAAATATTCAGGCTAGTGGCTAAGACCTTACGGATACCCATATCCCACTGAATGTCAACCAGTGCAGTGAACCAGTTTTATCTATCTCTCTGCTTCTCAAATAACTAAATAAAAACTTAAAATAAAATAAAATAAAAATAAAGACAACTATGTCATGTATTACCCAGTCTGTTATAGTTCTGTTTGGAAGCATGGTAAGTACAAAACTGAATGAAACAGGTAATGATGTGCTCTGCTGCTGAGTACATAAAAGCACTGCTCTGGGTAAGATGTAGCTTCCGAAAACGTCCTGTTCAGGGTGAAAATCCAACCCAGAATGTACAAAGCACCAGGATGTCTGCTTTTTGTAAGTCCTTCCATGTATGCACTGTAGGAAATCAATTCATCAAATCATTTATTTTATTTGTAAGTGAATAAAAGCTTGCTTCTCTTTTGTATATATTTTATTTCATATTGCTAGTATTATGTATATACAGAAAATAAGATGACAGTTCTTTAAGTGTCATGGAACAGACACTAATTCCCTGTTCTTTGTAGTACTTTCTACTAATGTTGATATTTTCAGTAACAACCAAAGTATTACACCACTTAATTACTCTACCACAAACACACACACACTCACTCTATCTCTGCTAGACAGACTGCACATTTTGCCACAAATAAAAGCAGGAAAGAAACAGCATTACTTAAGTGAACATGATGTTGCATTAGATGAAAAGGCTTACCAGGTTCATTTCCTGAGTCAATTCAGAAAGGATTATTACTCCTATTATGCAGTGTTCCACAGTACCCTTTGAAGAAAATAATCAAGTTTAGCCTAAGTGGGGACATGTGATTGGTTTTTAATGTGTAAACCAGATAATACTTAAAATAAGTAAGTACAAAAAGTCACATTTACTTAATAATGTATCTTCTAAAATATGTAGAAAATCCACTGAGTTCTACAAATAAAAGAATTTGAAGAATAGATTTGTGCACAAAGAATTGAAATTGAGTGAAGGAAGGTTCACCTGCCTTTGAGCTACATGACAATATATGTTTTTTCTAGCATCTCAGGACACATAATAAACTAAATTTCAAAATGCAAGAATTTGTTTAATACTTTTCGTGAGACCATGAATAAGAATGAGCGAACAAGATTTTTTCCCTCTATAAATTTACATAAAGCCTACTGGGATAGCTGTGTACAATAAATTAATAAAAACCTTAGGAAAGAATTCAAATCCCTTGATCTAGTATCGAATAACATCCTCTACATCTTTTTAATACTGTTTAATAGTATATGTATATGCAACTGCCATGTACTTATAATGAAGGCATCTAAAGTACTCAACACAGTCAAGCAACATGCTATATGGTTCCATGGCATCTACACTGGCCTGAACCTAATCAGACTCCAAGCCAATCTAAAAACTTCCTATCACTATTCATCCTTTACAGAGATACTAACAAACTGCACTATGGCAAAAATCATACAGAAGAGTGAAAATTATAAAAGTGTAATCATAAAAATATTAAATGGATAGCATTTTTCAGATCTTCACTTTACAATTGTTCCTTCTATCACATAATTTTAACTATACTGGTCACTAGGCATATTAAGGTCAAATTATTTCAGAAATAAATTAATACAAAATATATCTCAAAATTTTTTCATTTTAATGCTGGCTGGCCTTTCATGTGAGTGTGATGCAGGCTCTAAATTCCCTACTCACTCATGCATCCCATCATCTATGTACACAATGTCAACACTCCTTTCAATGTGGTGCTTGAGTAGCCTGCACAGGAACCCACTGGCTGTCTATACGCCCAACTCTCATCTGCAAATGGTTTGGCACAGGTCCATGACGAAATAAAGAATGTGTGCCAGAGTACAGGACAGCCGAGTCACTAAGCACACTGGTTAGCTCAGCTTCGCATCTTATTTTCTTGCAGACCACCAATTTGAACCAGCACTGCCTTAGATGACAGCAGAGCCATCTGGTTATATATGTGCACAGGACATACATAAATATGTTTGAGGTGTGATAGCCACAGGACTATAATAACAGAGAAAAGGGGATGCACTGAAGCTTAGATCATTAAAGGTTGAACAAACTTAAAACAACTGTTAGGAAAGACAACCACACAAATCATGAGGTACTGTTTGCAGGTACCCAAATGAATCATGAGGTATGATTTTAAAATGCTTATTTAATGTTCTGACATTATTAATAATTTTTCAAGACAAACATTTTCTGTTTCTTTTGGTCTAAAATTTCTAACAGTATGCAAAAGCCTAGCTCAAGCCAAGCCTACCAGCTATGAAAAAAGAAAATCTGAGACATTTATCCTACAAGACTAATTTCACTTCATTCAGTTTTCAAATCATTCTAAAAGTTATTGATAAATCTATTCTCGTCTACTTGAACAGTTTTAGATGGTCTACTGTAGTAAATGACAGAGGGAAAGTACTACTGTATTAGCTAAAATTATAAACACAAAGCGAGAAGCTCACATATCACTAGATAAACTATTCTTCCGCCCTAGTGTAATCTGATCTCTTCAAAACTAAAGATGTACTTGTCCAAAGTACATTGTTATCCAAAAGTTTAAGTCAAGAGGGGAGAATCTGTTCTATCAAGGGTCATATAAATATTTATAATATCATCTGTGGGTCTTACAAAATTATCAACTTAAAAATTGGGGGTTGACTTTATGGTACAAGGGGGTAAATTTCCAACTATAATGCCTACACCCCATATGTGTGCTGGTTCAAGTCCAGTTGCTCCATTTATGATGCAGATCCCTGCTAATGCACCTGGGGATGCCACAGATGTCTCAAGTTCTTAGGCCCCCCACGCCTTCACTCACGTGGGAGACCAGATTAGTCCTGGTCACTGTGACCATGTGGGGAGTAAACCAGCAGATGAAAGATTCTCTCTCTCAGTTTCCAACCCTAACTTTCAAATAAATAAATAAATAAAAGCTATTTTTAAAAAGTAGCTTGCTATAAATTTACTAAATTCTACGTCCTGCCTGTGGTTGTTCAGCCAGGTCCAAGCCAAATGATATCACAGGTCTTACGTGGCCTACAGGGAGGATATTTTAGAGCCCAGTTTTAGATAATCAGCAACAAGAATAAAATAATCTAACATTCCATATGCTGAGGCTTCTAGCATTATGCTATATGGTAAATTCACACCTTAAACAGATTTACTTAAAAGTTAGTCCATAAAAAGTAAAATATTAACATCCAAATTATCTCTAACTACTAATAAACTAAAACTGAACTGTCTCAACTAATCAAAATTGTTAATTTATTCTTAGTGATTATAACAGGTCACGGCTCCCTCAACTAGAAGCAACTAAACATTGCTGAAATTAAGGATATATTTTTGTGAAACATTTATATCTTTTAACTATTTGAATTAGAATGGGTTTTGGCAGAGCAGACACTTAGAACGCCCACATCCAACATCAGAACATCTGCACTGGAGCCCCAACTGTCCTACTACTGAGTCTAGCTTCCTGCTAATGCACAGTCTGAGACAGCCAGGGATGGCTAAAGTACCCGGGTCCCTGCCACCCATGCGGGAGACCCGCACTACGTTGAAAGCTCCAGGGTTAGGTCTGGCTCAACAAGTACTGCATGTACACGCACTATGACTGAAATTACTTAAATTAAAAAGCACTGTTGAGAAATTCGTGTATTTGGTATGGAACAACATGAAAATGAAATTAATCAGTGTTATAAGATTACTGAATTGCAAATTCTAGGCACTAATAGGCCCCTGCCTGACACTATGTAAGTTCTTAGCCTCGATTATCTCCAAAGGAAACCATTTCACAGGATTTTAAAGAATGTTACATTAGATAACACATGAAAAGCACTGTACAAGTTTCATATATATATGTATATATGCTTTGTATATGTTTTGTAAATGTCACGTATGTATATGACATATGAGATTACTTTAAAAAGTTCATGAAAAAAAGAATTATGGGGCCTTGAGCGGTAGCCTAGTGGCTAAATCCTTGCCTTGCAAACACTGATATCCAGCTCCCTGCTTGTGGCCTGGAAAAGCAGTCGAGGACGACCCAAAACCTTGGGACCCTGCACCCACACAGGAGGCCTGGAAAATGCTCCTGGCTTCTGGCTTCAGATAGGCTCAGCTCCAACCACTGTGGCCACGTGGGGAGTGAATCAGCAGACAGAAGATCTTTCTTTCGAATCGCTTTCTCTCTTTCTGTAAACCCCGCCTTTCCAATAATAACAAATAAATCTTAAGAAAAAAGGAATTATGGGGCTGGCACAATGGCTCAACTAGTTAATCCTCCACTTGCAGGCACTAGTATCCCATATGGGTACCAGTTCATGTCCCAGTTGTTCTACTTCCCATCTAGCTCCCTGTTTGTGACTTGGGAAAGCAAAAGAGGATGGCCCAAAGTCTAGGGATACTGGCACTCACATGGGAGACCCCAAAAAACGCCTCATTCATGCCTTTGGAGCAGCTCAGCTCCAAGCAATGAGGCCATTTGGAGAATGAGCCAGCCAATGGAATATCTTTCTCTTTCTCTCTTCTCTGTCAATATGCGTTTTCAACAAAAATAAACAAATCTTTTATTAGAAAGTTTTTTAAAAAGTTCATTTGGTGCAAAGAACTTTTAAATTGCATAGTTTTCCATAACACAAAATTTTCATAAATGTTTAAAGATCCTTCTAACATGTTATAAAATGAAAGAACATATACTTCTGGAATTAGAAAACATAATTTGTATTCTTGATTTGGAAGTTATATAACAAAACAGTCTTCATTTACTAATAGCAAACAATATAGAACCCAGAGGATAAATAATAAATCATAATTAATAAGGTATTGGTAGCTACAAGTCGTACAGTCTCTAAACTAATAAAACCAAGTAGTGATTCTCTGATAATGTAATAATGCCTTCTTACCTGAAGAAATTTTTTCACATCAGCAATAATTTCTCTGAAGACAAACTCATCTTTCTGAACCTCAAACCACCCCAATTTAGTAATTTTAGCAATGACTTGAATAAGGGCTTGGATGACATAGGGAGCCAGCTTGGGTTGTGATGCCACATAATTCAGAATGTAGTTTCCTACAAAGAAAATATCCTGTGATCATCTGAACTTTTTAGATACATAATGAAAAACAGAAAAGAAAAAGAGGAAATAATGATGTACTCTTTAACAAAAAGCAATCCTTTCCTTCAACGCAGCTTCTTCAATATGCCTTGTTTTGAAAAAGTACATTTGTTTCAATGCATTAGAAACAATACTGGATAATTTGAGTATGAGAAATACTTTCTATAAGATTTTACATACAAAAAAAAAATACTAGATGAATGCACAAAACTGCAACCACGTCAAATGACCCAAGCTATACAAAACCATCTAGTAGTTATCTCATTTCACTGCAGGTATTTTCAGCCTGCAGTGGTTGGATGTCCCCAAAGGCCATGTGTTGAAGATTCAGTCCCCTAAATGGCACTAGGAAGGTGGAAACTTAATTCAATCAGGTGTCTGGAGATGGGCCTTTCTGAATATAGAAGAAATTCCAGTGGATTAACATCACTTAATGTTTAACATTTTGAAATTCTTTAAACAACAGAGGATATGGAAGTTGTAATACTAAAAGGGTGATCTCAACTTAATAATAAGAGAAACCAAACAGGAGACAAACCACATTTCAGACTGAAAACTAGCTACCACTAAGTACACTTTTCAAGACTGCCCAAGCAAAGAGACTGCCTCATAAAAGTAAGTTCATTACCTAAGGAAGGAAAACAACACTGTACTGACTTCTGAGATTTATAACCAAATGTTTCATGTAAAATATCCTCATGCTTTTTATATGAACTATAAGATCGTTCCAATTTAGTAGGTTCTAATCAAGTAAAACAAATCTCATTACCGATAGTCCAAATGATTAGGAAAAGCCATACCAATGGCTATATGACAATATGACACAGTATTTAGCATTCTGTTAAAAATTACAAGTTGCTTCCCATCAAATAACATTTATGTGACTCTAATAGCAATGGGCAAATCCTACTACTGTGTATTACCATTATTGCTTTTCTGATCCAAAAACATGAAGATCAAAGATGTGAAATGACTGATCCAGTTTGTTTTGACTTTGTATTTGTTTGCTGCTTCCATATACTTATAAAATCATACATTTTATAGTATTCGTAATTTGGAAGCCAGCATAATCCTTTACCTGTAGCACCAGCATTCCATATGGGCCCCACTTGCAATTCAGCTTCCTGCTGATGGCCTGAAAAAGCAATGGAGAAAGGCCTTGGGCCTTTGCACTGCTATGATAGACCCAGAAGAAGCACCTGGCTCTTGGCTTCAGATCAGCTCAATTCAAGCCATTGTGGCCATCTGGAGGGTGAACTGGCAGACGCAAGATCTCTTTGTTACTATCTCTTTTTCACTCTCTCTTCTCTTTGTACCTCTGCATCTTCAAAAAATATACATAAATCCTAAAACTACAGTATTAGTAACTTAAAACTCTAAGTCCAAATTCGTAGATCATTGCTGGAGTTGTCAGTCACTGGATTAGTACTTTAGAAACCAGTACACTATGGAAAATTAATATGAAACACGCATTTCAGCTGACTGAGATCAGGTAATAAAGAGGCAACAAAGTATTTTTATGAAATAAAATAAATAAATAAAAGAAAAAAGATTCCATTTATATTTTGGCCCCAAAAGCTAGCCACGCCATTTGGCAAAAGATTAAAGAGAAAGTAATTACCTCAAAAGTGCTTTGATGGAAACAATTCCAAATATCAAGAACACTTAAAATATGAGCTGTAATCTCTGCCAAGACAGCAGCTTAATGAACTACTTGGGAAAGGAAAGAAACATGGAAAAAGGGAGAGAACCAAGAGGAGAGGGTGAGAAATTTTAACTTCAATACATTTTTAGTGAGAATGTAAAATGATACAGGCACTTTGGAAAACAATTTGGCAATTTCTAGTTAAGTATAAACATATGACCCAGCAACTCCAGTAAATTTGTCAAAAATAATTGTACATTTAAAACAACTTTATTGTATATAAACTAGGTCAACAATTCTGTTTCAAAGGAGGAAAACTAGAAAAAATAGAGGAAGGATTACATACATAACTCAAACTATACTTTCACTTGAACAGAACATCAAAAGAATAGTATTCCAGTCTAAGGAAAAGAAATGTAAGAAAAGGCACCAAGGCAGGAATAAGATGGCACGAGGGCAAGGCTTTCTGGCAAAATCTGTGAAGAGATAAAACTGTCTACACAAGAATGGCCCTTCAAAACTAAGCTCACAAAGGAATTACAACACTAAGCTGAGAAAATGGTACTTCATTGATAAGCAACAGTAAGACATTATCAATTTTTCTAATAAAGGTAAAAAAACATGGTGTAAACACACAGAGATAGAGTTAGTAATAGGAGATGGTGTGATTTATAGACCGACATCATACAATGAATAACAAGATTTGGGAGTTGAGGTAATGTAAGATCAACAACATGATTGTTAAGGCCATTCTTTGTCTTATACATTCAAACTCACATCCATCATGCTACTGGGAATATCAGTTAGATATGACAAATATTTTACAAGCAGAAACAAAAGTGGTTAAGTCCAACTAAAGAAGCTAATAAAAGAAACCAACCAACACTTGCCTGAAAGTCCTCTAAAACTATACTTAGTTTGCAAAAGTCTTGTAGATGTCTACATTCTTCCTTTTTCACACATTTTTCTTAATGAGGCATTATTATTCTTGAAAAAAGTTTATGAGCATATACTCATTGACTTACAATGTGGTTATGTCCTGAGAAACTCACCAAAAGCTGAAAATATTTTAGGCTGAAAATTCATTTAATACATACAACCTACTAAAACATCATAGCTTAGCAACACAGAGCACTGTATGTAGGGTAGTAGCTGTGATCATGTGACCGAAAGGCAGCTGGGATTATCTGTTGCTGCGCAGCACTGACCGAGAAGGCGGCACTGTAACCTACTAGTTTAGGAGAACATGAAAAGTCAAAGTGTGATCTCTACAGAATGTCCTTTAACTTCCCACCATGATATAGCAAATAAAAATTGGCAGTCAAACCATCTTAAGCTGAAGAACATCAGTATTTTTGTTTTTAAAGAATGCATCCATTTTAAGTATAAAAGCAAGTCAACAATGAGTACACCTATTAGGAATTGAATCGATAATTAATAATCTTCCAAACCAGAAAGCAACAGGCCCAGATAGATGGGGTTACAAGAAAGTTTACTGATTGTGTAAGGCTAGCATTACTCAAATATCCAAATCAGACAAAGATAGACGAAAACTACAGACTAGTATCTCTCATGAACATAGATGCAAAAATCCTCAACAAAATAGTCACAAATTAAAACTAACAATGTATAAGAAGAAATAAGCTTCACAAAAAGGTAATATTTGTCCCAGATGAGGATGCAAGACTAGCTCAACATTCAAACATTAATGCAACTCATCACATGAAGAGGCAAAAGAGAAAAATCATATAATATCAATAGACATTTAAAAAAGCATTTAGTAAACTATAACATCCATTCATGTTTTTTTAAAAAGTAACATTTTAACAAGCAAGGAACAGAAGAAACTTTCCCAGCTTGTGAAACTTTTTCAGTGTCACACTGGTGTCTTAGGGCAATGGGACAAAAACAAGAAACCAAAGATACACCTATTGAGAATAAAGAAACAAAACTCCTGCTCACAGGTGACAAGACTATCCATTTAAAATCCAAAAAGAATGCACATCTCCCCCCAAAAAATCCTAAATTGGAGAAGGGATGGGGAGGGTGGAAGGGGAAATCCCTGAGTCTTTTGGACCTGTACCAGGAAAAACCTTGTCTTTTGTTTTTTGTGTTTTTAATTCCTAAATAAAGGACTACAGCAAGGCTTCGGGATACAAAGTTAATAGACCAAAGTCAATCATTTTCTTCTATCAGCATTGAAAAAAGGGAACTTAAAATTAAAAATATAATATTGTTTACATTAGCCAACCCAGAAAATGAAACACATCAGCTAAAAATAACAACATAAGACCTTGTAATAATAACTACTAAACCATAATAATCAAAAGCAGAGATCTAAATAAACAGCCCAAATCCAGGATACTGACAAAACGCTAGCAAAGATACAGAACTGAAAGAACTACTATTCATTTTTGGTGGGAATGCAAAATGGTACAGCAACTTTGGAAAATAGGTGCTTCCCTACAAAACTGAAAACACTTATCGTTTTATCCAGTAGTCACTCCCAAAGGATTTGAAAACATCCCCCCCACCCCCCGACACACACACACGTTTTTAAGTAGCTTTATTCAGAATTGTCAAAATTTGGAAACAACAAAGATATCCTTCAGTAAGAAAAGGGACAGACTGCAATACATTCACACGAGGAAATATTATTCAGTACTGAAAAGAAATGGCACATAAAGTCACAAAAAAGTAGAAGTACTTTAAATGGCCATCACTTAATCAAAGAAGCCAAGGCTACAAACTTTAATTCTAACTATACAACACTCTGAATGAAGTAAAAAGATCAGGCATCGCAGGAAGGAAGAAATGAACAAGCAAAGCACAGTGGATTTTCCAGGTGGTAAAACTATTTTCAATAGTACATATAAGTCATTATACATTTCTCAGAATCTATAGAATAAAAGTATGCCCATAGTGATGAAGTGAGGTGGGGGCAAAGAGGAGGTATGCAGGAACTTTCTATACTCTCTTACTGAATTTCACTGTAAATACAAAACTTCTCTTAAAAAATCAAGCCTATGTAAAATGTGTGTGTGAAAAAAATCAACCAAGTAAAATTTCTAGTTGCATGAAGTGGACTTACACAGTTCAAATCCTTATTTTTTAAACTATACATCTCTAGCTCTCTCTCTCTCCTTCTCTCCCTATCTCTATCTCCTTTGCTTTCTTACACACACACCGTTAGGGTATGGATAAATCCTCTGTGCTTTGTACAGCTCCTAACACTCAGAGTGCTTACGAAAACACCAAAACTAGGGCGGGGTGGGGGGGAATCTCAGACTCTTGAGAAATTGTACCATAAAATTCAAAAATTCAAAATAAAAAAATTTTTTAAAACTTTCCAAAAAAATCACCCAAAATATGAGGCAAATAACCTCATTGTGTGATTTTGACTGTTTAATTTTGAATTAAATATCAATCACACTAACACATTTTAATTTTTCTAATACAGAAAGATAAATCATATTATCTTGTGGCTGGAGACCAATAAGAAGTCAACAATCTATCTTTAATATAACCACAGATAAAAAGTTCCATTACTCAACTTTTAGAACTTTGTTCATATATGATGCACCTACACACAAACCCATACAAAACACTTTACAATCATTGCTTCTGAAAAATACAGAATAAATAATAAATTCTTTTATTACAGAATCAGTTTCTCACCTGCAATAAGTACCAAGCAGTATTCATATACACACAAATCATCTTCCTGATAAAAAGGAATTTACATCCTTCCCAAATGATTGTAAAACTGGCTCTGGGAAACTCTGGACAGCTGATTTTATTTTCCTATTATTTAGCTGCATACCAAGTTAATAGCTAAGAGCATGAATCCTACATAGACTCAGCAGGCTTGAATTACAGCTCTACTTCCTACTTGGATGCATCGCCTTCAGTACATCAAAGAGCCTATCAAATCTAATTTCCTTATTTGTAAGGAAGTTATTTTGTTTAGTAGACAAAATGAGACAGCATCAGTATTAGCAAAAAGTACATATAATAAAACCGTTAGCTATGTTCATTATTAAATTACAAAATACTTTCGCTTAAATATTGCTTTGGGTTTAGCAAATGAAAGTTGGCCACAAACCTCTAAAAAAACAGATTCAAAATTTCCAAGTATGATAACAGCTTAGCACAATTAAAATGAAAAAAAAATCATTTGCAATACAATTCATTTGTTACAAAAAGTACAATAAAACACTTACTGATATCTATCCTCTGCTCAACAGGTAAAGGACTGACTCGGCTGACAAGTTTTGAAAGACATGTTGCTGCAAGAAGCTGAGCATAGGAGGTCTGTAAAGAATAATTTTTACTTATTATTATCACAAATGGAATTATAATTAATTTTATAAAATTATTTTAATGGGAGGAACTTTTTTCTAAGTACTAATGAGAATTCTTTCCAGTTTAAATATAACTGATAAAACATGTTCACTTCAGATAAATATGGGTAGATTTTTGCAAACATTCCTTCACGAGGGTCATTTAGTTGAAGGAAGCAAGGTAGTTATCTCAGACAACAGCAAGCAGTCAGGAAAAATAAATAACTATAAGCAAGTTCAAACAATGTACCCTTAGCACAATCTAGATGCTTCTGTTACCATTATCATCACTACATACACATCTGGCTTTTGATCATCTCTTTAAAGTCATCTGGCTCACTCTCCACAATGCTGTGAACACGGTAGCCTTCTAGCTCCTTTGCATCCTTCCTCATCCTGACCTCCTTCCTCTGTTTTCTCATCAAGTGTCTTCATAGTATATTAAAACTCTGTACAGAGTGTTCATCCTTTAAAATTCAGACCAGTTATTCACCTTTACGAATTTCTAGCAAAGATGATTCCTTTTTTCTGCCCCGGGACCCAGAGGTTGGCAAACTATGGTCCACAGTCCAAATCCTATTTCTTAGCCTGTGGGCTAAGAATAGTGGTTACAATATTAAGCAGCTGGGGGAAAAGCAATGGTACTTTGTGACTTGTAAAAAAAAAAAAAACAAAAAAAAAAGATGAGATCCAAATTTCAATGTTCACAAATAGTTTGATAAGGCAGCCACATTTACACATTCACCAGCTGTCATGGCTTGCTTGCACACTATGACGGCAGGACAGTCCACGCGTGGTGCTGGTGCTTCCTATTGTTGTTGCTCAGTGCGGTGAGAGCAGTTAGAGCTCCTCAGTGCCTAGAGTGCTATGGATATTGCCATGACATGACACTCATATTTCATTACTACCAGAGCACATCCACCAAGCCAAAACAAAAAAATAAAAATAGACTTCAAATTGTTTTTAGGGCATGATAGAATCTGGATTATTTTGTTACAGAATTAGATGGCAAAGCACTTTTTTTAAAGCAATGACAGTATAGCTGTCCTAAAAGAACACCATATATGTTCATGTAAGACTAAGTACTCACTATAATCTTTCCAATTCACAAGAAAACAGCATTCAGAAAAAGCAGAAAAACTTAAATATCTATCACAGTGGATTTCTTTACAAAAATAAAGTTATAACCTAAGTTAAATTTCCAAGTGGCTCATCTATTTAACTCACCAGTTGTGAATCAATTAAATCACTATTGCTTTATCCCAGCAGCCAAAGCTGCATCTACAGAGAATAAACTTAAGACTTACTAGCCTTTTGGTAAGAATGAGTGCTCAAAGGGTGGTGGGCCCAGACAAATAATTTGGAATGGTTTTCCTTCATTCTTACAAGTGAACTGATGTTACTAACATAGTTCATCATGTCAATGCTATAAATATTTACTCTCTATTACAGAAGTCAGTGTTCTGTATGAAGTGACAAAGAAACTGGTCTCTATGAAAAGTCTATGTAGAATTTCAGACTAGAAAAGTTTCAAAGAAGCAAAGGAATTGTCAATCTAAGCTGAAGTAGCTCTTGCTAAGATCTATGTTTAATTGACAGCACCAATATATGGAGCAGAAAAAAAGGTTCACTGGACCACTTAAGACGACTATATAAAAAAAAATAATGTTGGTGAAATCTATGGTTATTCACTGCACTAGTCATCTGCAGATATTTGTAGTAAAATATCTAAGTTAATAAATCAGTGACATTACTAATATATTCCATTCACTTTTGTGAATTTATCTTCAGTCTTCCTTTGAGACACTTTAGTGAAATATTCTGACTTGCCTACCACACAATATTTTAATAGCTTATCACAGTAAAGTTTTATAGCATTTTTTTTTTTAGCTCGGGGCTAATAGTAACTCAAATTTTCTGAGTGAGAAGAACAAACCTCTACTGTTCAATACTAAGGGACCTTGGGAATAAGTGCTTGGTTCAAACTTGACAATGTCCCTTGGTGAATTTAACCTAAAATTACAAAACTGTATAAAAGGCAAAGAGTTCTTGGTATTTACATACAGAAGTGATACTGCAATAAAGTCATTTTAATAATAACTAACGTTGTTTGAATCACAAGTAATGTACAGTTGCTACTATATACTTCCCACACTGGAAAACTAAAATGAGTAGCAAAATCTTGATTCTGAACTCTAACAGCAATTTCAGACCTTGAAACAAGTGTTAAGCAAACTTCCACAGTTCAAAATCCATTTAACAATACAACTGAAGAACTTCCACCTAATGTTCAATTAGAAGTAATTAATCTGAAATAGAATGACCTGCTAAAAGGCAAATTTCAAGATTTAATAAAAATCTATAAACGTCTTCTAAGTAATGAATATGCTTAATTGAAATCATATGCTCATGAACTGATATTAGGATTTGACAGTACCTATCTGTGTGAAAAGATATGAAAGACATTAAATTTCTTTACAGGTCAGAATTGATATATGAGCATATGCAAACAATGTTGACAGGAAAAAACAACTACGAACTTTGACTAACTAAAATGTTATTCCCCAAAGAACAGCTTTACTACTTTCAATAGAAGATCCATATAATTAAAAAAAAATGTTACATGAACTTTTATTGAGTCACTATATTTTGAATTTCATCAACAAAACTGTGCAGATTACATTTCTCTTGTTACAGACATACTTAAAATACTCCCAATCTTCCTTTTGGCTAACAAAAAGACTAAAACAATTACCAGCTGATCTTTTTCAGTAAATGCTTGCCAATTCTGGTCTAAATCATAGAGTCTCTTACTGTAGAGCTCACCATATCATTTCAAAGCTCTTTAGGCATACAATTATCTATGCCTTTTCAACTAAACAATGAGCTATATGATTCATGCATATAAACTAAATAAACAGTACTGTGCTTTAAAAAACTCTGGAGTTTTGCATTTACCTGTCTGTTAAATGACTGTGATGAATGGCTATGAATAGCTAGAAGGCAGGCAGGCAGGTAGTTCTTTCATGTTTGAAAATTAAATATCATCAGCTGTTTCCATATTTTTTTAAACTGTTAAGCGACTTCTGAAATATGTCATGTTTAACAATTAATAGAGACATAAAAAGGGTCAAGAGGAATCAGAAATTACTTTGATTCAGTCTTATTTCCACCTCCTGGCTCTGCATGAAGTTTGCTTTCCAAGCTTTCCAATTCTTCTGCTGATGAATCTCTCTGACAAGAAAATATTGTGGAAAAGCTTGTGGCAGTGGCCATCAACTATCATTGCCAACAGTGACACACGAGGTTCATTAACACTGACATGCGTCTACTACTGATCTCTCATGGTTAATGGCTGTTATCAAATACTTACTGTTCCTTGTTCTAACAAGAGCTGACACTTGCTGAGACATTCCGGGCTGTCGATGAGTTCCAGCAGTGCTTTCTCAGCCTCTATTCTCTGTGCAAGGTCAGTCCCCACATAGAGATGAGTACATAATGCTTCCAACTCGGCCAAATTCTTGCAGGGAAGAAAAAAGTAACATTTACTTGAATGAAAATAAATTCACCAACCACATAAAAAAAAAGAATGCAAATGTCATGTCTACATGATAACTTTCAATATATTACTGAGATTATAATACATATTATTATACATACAAAGGAAATTTCCATAGCTCGAAATCCATTTTACTGTGCAACTGAGAAACTTCCACCTAATCTTCAACTGTTTGTAATGAATTCAAAACATATAATAATAAATAAATGACAATATATGATTTTATATATGTTTCTTGAGCTACAGCTACTTACTAGGGGATATAGTAGCAAGCAAAAAACTTTTCATGCCTCCCAGGTCATTTACTTTAAAAATTAACAAGTCTGTGATAGAAAAATAAAGAGGGAGAAATGTCCCTGAAGAAATAATATTTACACTGAAATCTAAAATAGTAAGCAGATGAACAAAAAATTAGAAGACACAGGCCAAGAAATATCCTTTCCCAGGGTTCTGAATTAAAATGTTAACATATCTGAGCACTAAAAGGACAGTATGGCTAGTAAACAGCAAAGAGGAAAGACCAGATGAAGCTAGAGACAGGTAACAGGAATGATCATACTCAAGTTACAGGTTATCTGTAAAATTCTTCAATTATAAAATTGGTTTAAACTGCAAAATTTTCAGTTGTTCCATCTAAAAAAATTAAATAGTACCAATTATAAATATATACTGATTTGGGGCTTCTAAACTACTGACTCACACTGCTACAGATAAACTATGTCACACACTGGCTGGTACACACAGGAGTCAAGTCTAGGGTCACCTCTGCTGAGGTTTCTTTGGGGACACCCCACCACAACCACCACCACCAGCACCGCTGCACTCAAAGCTCCAATCACGAGGAAAACCAAAAAGGATATGTAGAATGACATATGTGATAAACATGACATAGGCAGGCAGCTGGATCAGAAGCAGGGCAGCCAGGACATTGAACCAGCGTCCATACAGGATGCCATCACTCATGGGAAAAAGATTAGTTCATAAACTATCACATCAGCCCCTGGAAGAATAACTTTAAAATGAGGAATGCTATTTCAACTTAAAAGAATTTTGGGGAGGGTCCAGTGCAATGCCTCAGTGTATAAATCCTTGTTTTGCATGTGCTGGGATCCCATATGGGCACCAGTTTGTATCCCAGATGTTTCAATTCCTACCTAGCTCCCTGCCTGTGGCCTAGGAAAGCAGCAGAGGATAGCCCAAAGCCTTGGACCCTGCATGCATGTGGGTGACCTGGAAGAAGTTCGTGGCTCCCAGGTTCAGAGCAGCTCAACTCTGGTAGTTGCAGCCATTTGGGAAGTGAACCAGGGAATGAAAGATCTCTCCCTGTGTCTCCTTTACTCTAACTCTGCCTTTCAGGAAAAAAATAAATAAATCTTTTTTTCTTAAAAAAAAAAATTCTTTTTGTTAAAGCCATCTTAGTAAAACAAGCTATTTCACTTTGACTTAAGTTAGAATTACTCTTTGAAAGATTAAAAACAGTGGCACAGATTTTAAAGACATGCAAGTGTACAAAGTAATGAGATATCCCTAGAACAATACTATTTTTTGTCCTTTTTGGTTTGAAGTTATACACAAACTTCACAGCTACTCTAATACACACATTCCCTCAATCAGGCACATACAATTAACACTGAATGCAATCTCAAGCTCCCAACACTTCCTCCACTTCTATCTTAGCTTAGCTCCTCACGACATGTTCCACTTTCCTATTCAGGACACAGCCCACTATCCCAGGCTTGGTTATTTTCTGCTAACATGAAAATAGCAGTCCAAAAAAAAAAAATGAGGCTGTAATTGTATTAAAATAAAGGCTCTCAAATGAACTCTAATTTAAACAATTCCCCCACTAAGACTGGACAAAGAAATGCAAATCTCTACTATGAGGGCATCCTCAAAAGAGTCACAGAAAACGCAAATTACTTTTTAAATTAATTTTTATGACTTATTTTTATTTCCTTGAAAGGCAAAGGTTCTGGATAGCTGTCTTTCACCCACTGGTGCACTCCCCAAATGCCTCCAACAGCCAGGGCTGGCCCAAGCTGAAACCAGAGCCACAAATTCAACCCAGGTCTCTAGCACAGTGGCAAGGGCCCAGCAACTCGGGTCACCACCTGACACCTCCCACGGTGCACATGAGCAGAAAACGGGGATCCGTGCAACAGGGACTCCAAGCCACACATTCTGGGTTTTGTTTTTTTTAAGATTTTGTTTAGTTGAAATGCAGCATTAAGAGAAAGAAAAAGAGACAGAGTAAGAGAGATCTTCCCTCCTCTGGTTCGCTCCCCAAATGGTCACCAAGATCAGGATTGAATCAGGCAGAAGCCAGGAGCTTCATTTGGGCCTCTCAAATGGGTGCAGGAACTCCAACACTTGGGCTGTCCTCCACTGCTTTTTCAAGCACATTAGCAGGAAGTTGGATAAAAAATGGAGCAGCAGGAATGACAACCAGCACTCCCATGGGACTGCAGCATTGCCAGTAGCAGGCTTGTGTGCCAAGCCACCTGGGCCCCAAAATCATGCACTCTGATGGGGAATGATGACATTCTGAGCAGTGCCTTAACCACAGCTCCCAAAGCCAATCCCAAAGTACACATGGATCTTGCAGCAAAACAAACATCTTTTAGTTCCAGTTTTAACATATTATTTACTCAATACTATGTCAATCAATTTCATAACACTATATATTGTTGCTGATGTTTTGTTGGGGCTTTTAACTGACCGGGATTTTATTCTGTTAGCTTTGCCTTCAGACCAGGGAAGGCCTCCCCAAGAAGACGTTAAATGTTATCAGGACAATAATATGCTGGACTCAATGCTGGGTATGTGCTTGCAATGAAGGAATCTCAACTGAACTTGAACTGTGGTTATGCACCATGGGGGGAGGGTTGTGGGAGGAGCGGGGGAAATCCAAGCACCTATAAAACTGTATCACCTAATACAATGTTATTAACAATTTAAAAAAAGATAAAAAAAGAAAATAAAAGTTGCACTCCTTAAAAAACAAAAAAAAAATTTTTGAAATATTCTTTTAACACTGTTCACAATACTCAAATGCACAGAAAGGGTCCGGCATGGTAGCCTAGTGGCTAAATCCTCACCTTGCATTAACTAGAATCCCATATGGGTGCCAGTTTGTACCTTAGCTACTCCACTTCCTATCCAGCTCCCTGCTTGTGGCCTGGGAAAGCAGTCGAGGTCAGTCCAAAGCCCTGGGACCTTGCACCCAAAGGGGAGACCTAGAAGAAGCTCCTGGCTCCTTTGGATCAACTTAGCTCTGGCCATTGTGGCCACTTGAGGGAACCAGTGGATAGCAGATATTTTTCTCTGTATTTCTTTCTCTCTATAAATCTCCCTTTTCAATAAAAATAAATAAACTTTAAAAAAATAAATTAAATGCACAGAAAATGTATGGTATATAAATAATACACACACATTCTCAATTTTTCCAGAGTAAGAAATACAAAAGTGAAGAGGTTATCTTTTCCTTTTTTATGATGAACCAAGGTCTCACCATGAATACCATGCATAATCTAAGAATAAACTAATTATGCTGCCATGCATTTAATTAGGCCAAAAATTCTTTGAAAAAGTAGGCCTTGACTTTAAAAATAAACTAAGCCAGATATTACAGGCAGCAAAAATGTGACTAATAACAGTGCTTATCTCATAGGTTTAATTGGAGGACTAAATACATACCACCATATAACGTCTGACAGCCAATATTTAACTAAAAGGCTAGTTTACTGCTAATATTATGTAATATTATAATGAGGAGTCAGTGTGGCACAGCAGGCTAATCCTCCATTGCAGCACTGGCATCCACTATGTGGGTCCTGGCTCATGTCCCAGCTGCTCCAGTTCCAATCCCGCTCCCTTTGAGTGGCCTGGGAAAGCAGTGGAGAATAATCCAAGTCATCGGATCCCTACACTCATACGAGAGATGATAAAGCAGCTCTCGTACCTTTCCTCACTCTGCCTCAACACCCCGCAATCTGGACTGCATCCCCAAAGATTACCCAGGTACATTACTGCTTGGGGGACAGGGCACCCTAACCCGTAGCTTGCCAACTAGAAGGCATGTGTGCTGAATGGGTTATATGTGTACCTGAGCTACCGATCCCTCTGCCCTCTAGGCAACCACGGCAAAATAGGTAAGGGTTGGAACAGCCAGAAACTCCACACTGATGGCCTTTGGCTATCAATGTTTATATAATGAGCTCCACAAGTGAAACTTTCTATATATCATGATGGGGAAAAAAAAAAAGGCTGTATGACATTAAAATTAGAAAAGACTATAAGGTGATACCCTAATCTCACTCTAAACAAATAATTTATTTATCTATCTACCTACCTACCTATCTATCTATATTTGAAAGGCAGAGTTAAAAAGAAGGGAAAAGGTCTTTCATCTGCTGCCTCACTCCCCAAATGGTCATCCAGCAGAGTGGAGTCAGACGGAAGCCTGGAGCCAGGACCTTCTTCCGCATCTCCCGCGTGGGTGCAAGGACTCAGGTCACCTTCCACTGCTTTCCCAGGCACAAGAGCAGGAAGGCAGAAGGTGAATGCAGCGGCCAGGATGCAAACGGATACCCATATACACGGCACCAATACTAGAAATCTATTTCTTTGCTCATCATCTTGATAATATAACTTTTAGTTACCACCCTGTTGGGTGATAGTAAGAAACAGGCAGTGGAACGAATAAGGCATTTATTACCGAATATCCCTAATCTAACTCTGCAATCCTGAACAAGTCACAGTTGCTCTACTGACTCAAGACCTTCAGAAATAAAAGATAAACTCAAGCTAGTGGGGAGCTTGACTCCACCACGAGCTCATAGAAACTCAAACTGCTGAGTGTCACTACAGACTGAGCGTGCTCTAATTCAAACACATGAACTCTAAATGTCCCCAAAATGTTTTACTTTTAAAAATTAGCCTTCCTGTTATGTGTATAGCTGTCTATACTGAATATAACTGAATTTCATGTTTAGATTTGGATCCCATCTCTAAGACATCCTGTTAACATGCAAATATTCCAGTATTATGACTTTTCATTTAAGGGGATGTACAGTAGCTGTGAAATGGAGACTAATACCCAGATCTGAGGATGCAGTGTAGTATGCATGTCTGCTTCCAGACAAAGATGGACTTACAATGAAACTGACAATGTCTAACTATGTCTTGACAATAGGATGCTGGACTCTCTGCCATTGTCCATGCACGCAATGATGGACATATGACTGTAATGATAGAGAGGAACCGGGGGGGGGGGAGGAATTGGGGAGGGGATAAGGGAATATGGAACTGTATCATAAAACTATTAAAAAATGCAAATATTCCCAAACCCAAAATCTCAACACTTCCAGTCGCAAGCATTTTGAATCAGGCATATTTAACCTGACTGACACACGCTCCTTGAGTCAACTAACAGCATGATTCCAGTTGCTAAAAAGATTTAAAACTGAGGAATTTACTCTTTTTCTAATAACAAAAATGGTCTGCTCTTTCATTTATCCAACTCTGCTTCTAAGCTGTCCATATCCACTGTGAAGGACATCCCTGGGAGACCAACATGAGCAGTTGTGACATCAGCAGTGAACTTTTCTAACACAGTATCTAAAGATGAAGAAACACTTCCAGGACTTGGTGATTTACTATGTTACCATGTTTTCAAGTCTGAAAAAGTTTTAAAGCCCCACCATACTTGTAAATTTACTCTCAGGACTTACACGCACACCGCATACATCTGGTTACCTTTTTATAACCCATAAATCCTTCCTGTGAGGTTCTTCCTGTGAAAATTTCCCACAGGACATATTTACTAAAGTGCTAATAAATACATTATTTTGACCTGGGGAACCGTTAGAAACAGCAAGGAGTCAAAATGTAACGTGTGGCACTCACAATTACCTGACAGAAGAGAGTTTAATTGGAAAGAAAAGATACTCCGGAAGATCCAATAAAAAAGGTAGTAAGTCAACATGAACAAGAGGGAATCCAAGAAAATCTAAGAGGCGAATGTGACACTGGCATATACTGTCACCAGACTGGGAAATTCCTCCCTTGCTAAGGTCATCTCCAGCCATCCACAGCCTCCCCTGGTCTCCTCCCTCCAATGGCACCCTGTGCCCCAACCAGAACCAACACTCGGCACTATGCCTTGTTCCTGCACAATTCTTTGCCCTGCTCCGCACAGTCCTTCTGTCCCTATATCTCCTTCCCTTCCTCTTCACCCAGCTAACACCAGCTCTGCTTTCAATACCCACAGGGCTGAGAAGAATTGCCAGACTTTGCTCACAGCCGTTAAACTTTATTGCCTCGTACAAGAAGACGCTGTGAAGTAAAAGGGAAGAAATTCTAATCTCAAAGCACCTCGTAGAATACAGTGTTGCTTTACTGCTTCCCAACACCCATACACACACACACACACACACACACACACACACACTCTTGGCTGACGGCCCATTTTTCGGCACTTGAAACATCATTTTTTTCACCCTGTACCGTACTTGTCTGTGATCCGCAAGGGCTATGAGAGTAAGATGATGTCACCCTTTATCCCCAGAACTTTGCGCGCTGCTTGGAACCCCGTGGGGGGAGTGGGTGGAGGGACTCCACATGTTGGCGGAATGAATAACTGAATGCAGCCCTAAGGATAGCTACCCTGTCCTCCTCTGGCATCCTCACCGCCTCGCACCGCGCCCGGCCCCCCCAGTTTCCTCCACCAATGAGGCTGCCGCGGAGCCTTTCATCACAACTCCCCAAAGATACAGCCCCTGCCTCCTCCGACCAATTAAAGTCCGGCCGCTGCCGAGGTTCTCCCCGACCGCCTCCACCGTGCCGAGGACCGTGGAAGGGGGCTCTCCCGGGCTCGGGACGCGGCAGCCAAAGCCAGCCCCGCCGGCCGGGATCGGGCCGCCCCTCGCCGGGGGACAGCGGCGACCCATGCCCGCCACTGCTCCTCCCGGGACCCAGCCCCGAGCCCGGTCCCCCGCCTCGCCCGCCCGCTCCCCCGGGACTCGAGCTGCCCCGTCGTCCGGCTCCGGCCACCAGGACCAGCGTCGCGGCCCCCGGCTTGGCGGCCCAGGACAGGAGACTCCAGGGACGCCAGCCCGCGGCGGCCCTGCGGCCTCCCCGCCGCTGGCCTTGGCCCTCGGGTCTCCAAATCCAAGCGCCGGCCACGGGGCCGACGGACTTGTGGGTGCTGGCCCACCGTGCAGAGCGGCACTGACCTGGAAGTGCAGCGCCATTTTCCCGGGAGACGGCAGCGCCGGCCGGCCGGTCCGCCCGGGGCACCCGAAGGGAAAGAAGCTGAAGCGGGCGCCGCGGAACCCCGCTCGCCCGGCCGCCCGCGGGGTCCCTGCGCCGCTCGCTCGCTCGCTCGCCGCTTCAGCCGCCACCGGCGTCGGCGTTCCAGGCGCTCCGCGGGGCGGGGCCGAGCGGGACGGGGCGGGGCCGACCGAGGGGGCGGGGCCTCAACCGCCCCTCGCGCCCCCGGCTCAACCGCTGCCTCCCCGGCGACCTCCGACCCCGGCGACCTCCGACCCCTGCCGGCGCAGCATCCACAGCCCAACCGTCAGCCATTGGCGCCTCTCGTGGCCCTCACAGCGCAACTGTTCCCCATGTCTCCGGACTCCTGCATCTCCGGTTTTCTCATCCTAACATTCACCTTGCCTCTCTGACACACAGCCATACTCTTTGCTTGGGGTATACATGCCAACTGCTGGCCCGGAATTTGTTCAAAAGTAACCAGGTGGTTTCTAACTGTGATTAAACGAAGTAACATTCTAGTTTAACTCTTTTGGCCTACTTCTCATTAATTAGGAACTAATGTTTTACACCAAATGGTGGCATTGGAGTGAGAATTTCCTGGAGAAGTGGGTCACAGTCATTCCTTGGGGCTATTTCTTTTGGAAGTTAGCACTTCCACTTGGGGTGGTGGGTCACTGTGTTTGGGCGTACGTGGGGGAAACTGCTTCACGTTCTTGTAGTTCAGGTCAGCTATCAATTCAGTCTTGTGAAGATGAAAACACCTTAATTTCACTTTCATGTGAAGGATAGTTTGGTTGGGTATAGAATTCCACCTTGTCTTTTTTGTGGTTGCGTTGTAATCTTTCAGCATTTCAAAGAAACCTCTCTGTCTTCCGGTGTCGTTGTTTCCACTGAGAAATCAGCCATCAGTCTCACTGCTGCTCCTTGGAAGGAGGTATGTCCATGCTTCTCTCTCTCTATCCCACGAGCTATTTGGAAGTTTTCTCTTTGGTCTGCCGCAGCTTGAGTCCAATGTCACTTATAGTGTGCTATTCTCTTCAACATAGTGAGCAATTGAGTCGTGCCTTCTCGAGTATGCTTAGCTGTTCAATTTCATGGGGTGTTAAAAAAAAAACTCATGGAAATGCATATTATGAATCAAGTAAAAGCATGCATAGATTTCAGCACTTTTTATACCCAAATAAGCTTATTTTCTAATTTCATTTTCACCATTTTTCTACAGTAGTGTGTATGCACCCATGAATGTATAATTGATGCCAAAAATGCTTTTATTTATAGTTGTTATATACATCTAGTATATACATATATATTTTGGAGCATCTATATATGTGTATATATTTTTTAAAGATTTATTTTTGCGCTCACTTGGGGAGTGAATCATCAGACGGAAGATCTTCCTCTCTGTCTCTCCTCTCTGTATATCCACCTTTCCAATAAAAATAATAATAAAAATAAATCTTATTTATTATTATTATTATTATTTAAATATTATCAAATAGAATAATAATAACCCCTGAATAAAAACTATATTTTAGTGGGATGGGGTTATAATGTTAACCCAACAGTGTCCTAGGCTTATTTTCATCTATAGCTTTACCATTGTGATGAATATTTCCTTTCTACCTCTTTCCATCCCATCCAGCTTTGCTAGCCTGGGCAATTTTGGAAGATTGCTATATTTAAAGTCTGTCTATATATTTCTATTTGTGAGACTGAAACTTTAAACTACTCATATCTGATTAAAATCTTCTGTGAATACTGAAAAGCTAAAACCCAAGATTAGTCATTTGCTTTAGTAGCACTTTTAATCAAAATATAGATAACATTAGTATATAATCCCTGTAATGTCTTCTTCATATGCAGTTTTCTTAAATACACTTAAAAATATTGCTTATTGCCTCATCAAGTTTTAGGAATCCAGCAGAAGGCAGACAGGTAAAAAAAAAAATAAAGAACAGCAGAAGACACTGCCTACATTTTAGTTACTTAAGACCCCTTCAAAGAACTACACATGCATAATATGTTCATCTGCATTTCTCTTTCATGTTGGTTAATTGAAAATGTTTTTGTTTTTTTTTTGAGGTTTTTCTGTGGTCATTGACCATACTTTTTTAAATGGCTTTACAGACGCGGTAAGAAGAGGGCAAAGAAACATCTACTACCGGTCCTTGCTCATTTGTGCACACAGCCATTTGCAGAACTAGGTATGTCAACACTCCAAAAGATTTCTATAAAATACCTTTAGGTCTTATCAATAACAACAATATTTTGTAAATTGGTTCCCAAGTATTGTTCATTTGGATTAAAATGCGTCATTAAGTCCTTCACATACTCCTATTTCTTCAGTAGGCAATTGTGTGCTGTTTCTTAGAGCCTAAGTCCTCCCCTTAAGGAGCAACGTTTTTCTTTGAGAGTTATGTTTTAAAAGCTGCTCCACTTTCCATCCAGCTCCCTGCAGGTGACCTGGGAGGGCAGTGCAGGATAACCCAAACCTTGGGACCCTATACCTGCACAGGAGATCAGGAAGAAGCTCCTGGCTCTTGGTTTCAGATCAGCTCAACTCAGCTCCAGGCAATGTGACCACTTGAGGCATGAACCAGCAGATGGAGGATCTTTTCTCTGTCTCTCCTTTTCTTTGTGGATCTGACTTTCCAAAACAAATAAATAAATCTTAAAAAAAAATCGCGATGAGAATACCCAGCTCACCTGGGTGGTCTCTTATGATAATGAAAAATGAAAAAGCCTAAGAAAGCTAAAAACAAAAACAACAAAAAACAAAGAAAAACAAAAAAACAAGTCTGTACATTTTTTCTTTCTCCCTTTTTATTCCTCCCATTTGCCCTACCCTAAGGTTAGATTTACTATTCTGAGCAGGTTATGGGGGATCAGTGAATGGTGATGCCCGCAGTTGGCTTTTTCGGTTTCAGTGACTTATCTTTAAAGTGTTTCAATAAGTTTTTGTGACTATGTAAGAGATACACACAGTTGAATAGCATGGAAGTTATAAAAAAAAAATGGCAGTCCCTTATAAATGACTAATCCTGGGGCCGATGCTGTGGGGTGGCAAGCTAAGCTCCTGCTTATGGCACCAGCATCCTGTATGGACAGTGGTTCAAGTACCAGCTGCTCTACTTCTGACCCTGCTCCCTGCTTATGGCCTGAGAAAGTAGCAGAGAATGGCTCAAGTCCTTTGGTCCCTGTACCCAAATAGGAGACCTAGATGAAGCTCCTGGCTTCTGGCTTCAGACCATCCCAGCCCCAGCCCTTCCAGTCATTTGAGAAGTAAACCAGCAGATATAACATTTCTCTGTCACTTTGTCTTTCAAATACAAACAGAATAAACCCTTTAAAAATGAAAAAAAAATAATAATCTTGGAACGAGTATTTGGCCAAGTAATTGACATTTACAGCCCATATGAAAGGGCCTGTTTTTGAGTGAGTCCTGGCTCTGCTTTTTCTGTCTCACAAACAAGAAATACAAATAAGAAGAAATAATTCAGTTTCGTGTAGCAGCAACAACCATCCAGTTATTTGCGCATAAATATGTGAGCATTCTTTTTGTGTGCAAAATCATGATATAATATTTTGAATGTTGATTTTTCTGCTTAGCAATATATTTAACACAGCTTAAATATTTTTCAGCACTAATATTATAGATCTATCTCATTTCCTTTTAAGAACTCCATTGTATCCATTATATGGTTAGACCATGATTTATTTCATTAGTCCTCTATTGAAAAAAATTTAGGTTTGTCTGATTCTTTTCACAATTATAAATGATATGTATGAAAACAGTGTTACATCAACTACCAGTGCTCTGGTAGGCAGAAAAGACACAAATTTCCCTTTAGAGCATAAAAAAAAAAAAAAAAAAAAAAGAACCTACTTTGAAAAAAAGAAAAAAAAACTTCCAGGGCTGACTTATACATAAATGGATCATATAGTTTATCATTAACTAAGGACCCTTTTGATGATAAAGTGGGGACTACAAATGAAATCTTCTGCTAATCCTGAAGTCAACGAGAATGGTAAAACAACAAGAGCCTTCGCAGCTATAGCAAAACAGAGTTGGAGAAACCATTCAGGCTCAAATTGGATGAACAGGACTCTATACAAGGGCTGGTTCACAAGGGTATGAGAGTCTCAATGCAGTGGTCTTTCTCAGGGTGTCAGAGATGAAACAGGGGAGCACCCATGTGGAAGTCAGTTTGTCTGTTTTGCAAATGATTTTAATGATTCTTAGATTATATGAAGGTTTTTCTACCAAATTGTACCCTGTGAACTGGGAGGTTAAACTCATCTTGTTCTTCAGTCTTTGAATCACTCATGCAACTTCTTTCACTTCCTCAATAAAACCTTTGGGAATGTTTAGCACAAATGCAAACCGTATCATTTTGTTAATCTTACCAACTGGAGTGAAATTTTTTCAGCATATGAGTAAATTGGCCCCTAAAAGCTAGTAAAATATATATATATATATAGTCCTTTATTTGTCTGGAAATAAAGATCGTTTGGAATTCAATCCTGAAAAAAACTGTCGTGAGTAGGCAGGTAGATGTAAGTGGTACTTCCCACAAAACATTGCGTGAATGTATTCCTTTCTCATAGTCAATGGATTGGTATTCTTCTTTATTGTGGTCTTGTAATCTGTATTCATTCTTTGTGATTCGGTGCTTGCAAGAACTTGCTATGTAAATGAAGAGCCTACATAGACAATAGGTTTGCGGTTTCACAAGTGAAAGATGCAATGTATTTAAAAACCAGTATTCTCAGAACAGATCTTTAAATGCTTTCTCTACCAATATTCCACTATTTTCTTGTTATGGCCTAACGGCTTGTTCCCCTCTTCCAAATTCATATGTTGGAACCATAATTCACAGAATATTTGAAGATAGAATCTCTGAGAAAGTGGTAAATGTTTAATGATTATTATGAATATTATATTATTATTTAGTGATTGTTAATTATTAATATCAGTAATATTATTTATTAATATTTC